GCATCTTTGTCGAGAAAGATCTTCTTCAGTTGCAGCGTTGCCATATGCTTGATATCTTTTTCCGATGGGAAAAAGTTCATTTCGAATTCGGCAAACGTCGTGTCCCATTCGACAACCTTCTCTTGAACTGCACGGAGGACCTCATTCAGCGGTATGATCTCCCAGTAGCGAGAACTTGTGTATTTGTCTTGTAAGTGCCGGACCAAAGAGCTATGGTCTTCATGACCCTTCTTGATCAATGTCTCGATTTCGGTCTTGCAGCTTTCCGCTAGCTCGGGAACAACACTCTCGACATTGATGCCTTTTAAACGGTCTTGAACAGATGCCATAAATTTGCTGATACGTTGCTCGGTACGCAAATATACTTCGTTCCTCATCTTCAGATCGTTGTCCACCTTCCAAGTGACACGAGGCCGTGGAACGATAATTTCGAGCAGACGAATAGGGTCATATTGTACCCGCAAAGCAAGATCCCTATAACCAAAAAAGTGGAGGTAATCCCGCCGCAAATCATGGGAGCAACCTCCAGTACGAGCAAGCAAGTGTCGGCCCCAGAAAGACAGCTCCAAGTATTTCCCGAATGAATACTTCCATGTGCTCTTCGACATAGGCATGACTTGAGTCTCGTTGCCGCAAACTTTGCAACAGCTCCACATCAGCACGGTATTGTGGAGCCCGAGGAGCTTAGATGGGTAAGGTTGGACCAGGACGCTGATCTGAGCCTCTCCATGGACGTACTGGCGGTGGTGTTCGAACATGCGCTTCTCGCAGCCGTTGACGGTGCATATCGAATTTGCGGTGAGACAAAGGTCCTCGACATACTGCCCAATTGTGAGATCTGACTCGAAGACCGTGTCATCTCCATGCTCATTGTAGAACTCCAGGGCAAAGGTATCCGGCCCTGAGCAGGGGACTGATGTTGTTGTGCAGACGACACTGTAGAGAATGACTATATTTTGATGTGCATAAGGGTCGAACATGTTGGGGTTCCCCGCTACATAGGCTTCCCACTGGCGTTTTTGGGTTTGATGGTGATAAAGTGCCCGATCGTACTCGGCTTCATGCGCAGCACGCAATACTTCCTTGACCTTTGCTGGCGCATCTTGCGGTGATTGATGAACCATTTCCGGGGTGATGAGAACGAATTTCTGCGGTTTGACCTTTTCATCGGCGATCTGATTAGAGTTGCCGTCTTGATCACGAAGAGATTTCAAATACGAGAGTCTGCGTTCCATTTCGCGCGCACGCGTCAGGAGATACGGAGCCTCGAATTTTACGAAAGGTGATGCCGACAAAATCTTTGTCTCGTAATCCTGGACCATATCGTTATAGTATGTCGGCATTGGGATGTCGTCTGGAACCTTCGCACCATCGGCATCAACGAGAATTTGGCTATCAGAGATATCATCGAGTTTCTCGCTTGTTCCCTGTTGAGCGGTACATGGGTCGACTAGAGGTGCGCCGCCTTCGTGAGTGATAGTCTGTTGATTATTTTTGTCCTTGTCAGACACAGTTATTGGTTCTTCTGCCGTCGAGGCTGATATCCTTCCGAATTCATCTCGCATAACATTTGTTTCGAGGCGGAGATTGTACACAACGTAGATCATGAACTCGGTGATCCTTTTCACCTTTGCGAGGAGTTGGTCATCTCCTCCGCGCAGGATAATGGTACAGCCGAGCTCTTTCGGACAGCCGGAGATGTACATATATGTTTTCTTTCGACCATTATGAACATAGGTTTTCACGTCGAAACTGCTGCAGTCACTATGCAATGTGGTCGTCAAGAGCTTATCCATAGATGTCATAATTCTAGTCTGCGTACATCTCGACACAGCCTCGAGAACAGATGGCTTCACGTTGTATGCGGTGGCAATTCCAGCTCGCTCCAGGAGGCCAAGAGCCAGGCCAGAAACAGTTTTCTCGACCAACAGCAGGTTTGGACGCAATGCTGAGATCCGACTGACCAAGTTCTCCAAAAACTCACGCTCTTGTCGAATGACAGGCTCGAGACTCATAAAATGCTGTTGTTGACGAGCATATTCAAGAGGAAACGTGATGATCAAGATGTTTGGACGTAGGATGTTTCGTGACATGCCTTTCAGGGCTAAATTTTTGGTGAAAACGAGTCCCGATACATAGGAAGTGTCACTAGGCCGGCCACCCGGAATCTTCTTCAATTTGACGTAATGTCGAATGTCCATGTCATCTCCTTTTTGGACATCTGGATCGACCTCATCTGCAGCTTTCAAAAGTATTGGCATCAAGGCATTTTCCCAGCTGTCGCCATTTGGCAGAGCAGATTCTACAAGCAGCTGATGGAGTAGCTTTCGTACGTGTTCCAGACTGGCTTTGTTCAATTCCACTGGTGGCGCATCATTGCCCCTCATTGATGAACTCCGAGTCATCTTGAACCCGACCTGCTTAGAGCCCTCGGGTAAACATATGGCTGGTACTGAGGTGTCATGAGAAATCATATTGTCCTTCGATGTCCTGGGAGAATGACGCGGTTGAAAACTGCTATTAAAGCTCATGTTTCGACGACGAGAGAAACGAGGTAGATTCACAGCCCTTGAACTGGTGATACTGGCATCGTCTGCATCTCGAGTCACACTAGCGGTATTTCGGTCTCCAAAAGCAGATCTGCCCTTCTTCACTGCTGCCAGAAGCCCACCAAAGGAAGCTCTCTCGCTTTCACCCCCACTTTTGGACAGAGTGCCCTCAGAGACTGCAGACAGAAGACTGGGCTGCTCATCGCCACTGGATGCGTCATCCGAGAGATATTGAGCAAGGTCGGGGTCAATGATATTATCCTTATGAAAGGCGGGTAGTCGAGATTCAGCGTCTATCTCGTCTGCATGTCGGCGTTGGAACGGAGCTCGATCTTCATGATATGGCTTGAAGCCGCGAATATATTGCTGACGAGAGTGGTGACGTTTGTGACTGATCGAGTGCGGTCTTCCACCCAGCGAGGACCGCAGAGAGCGCGAAGAGGTAGGTCGTGCCAGAGGGCGATCAGAATCAATTTCGAGAATTGCCGAGCGGCGATTATGTCCCTCTCCCGCACGTCGTGTGGCCGGTATGGCCATTGTTGGGGTTCTCAGAACGTGATCGATCGATTGAGATACAACTGAAGATGAATCATCGTCGTCCGCAGATGTCCGCCCAGTATTGGTCCAGCTGAGTTCGGCAACCCGAGGATTTCCCACTATGGGGCTCTGTTCGCTATCGGAGAACTCAGATGAATCATCGTCATGCGCATTGATCATCTTCTCACAGGGTTTGCAAACCCGAATACTCCCAGGTTGTCCGAAGCGTGTTCCCGAGATAAGCAGAGTGCATTTTGAATCAAAGATCTGACCACAGGTTCGACAGTGATGTTTTCTGCGAAATGTTGTGAATGGTTCTCCGCAATGGAAGCAGTCTTTGGCATTCTCGTCCCGCATCCAGAAATCCCTGCTGAGCAATTTACTCCTAAGCTGCGACAAAACACCGTTGTTCTCGGCGGGAGGTTGGCGCCTGGCTTGTAGAGATTGACCAGTAGCCCGGTCGACTGTAGTGTTTAAAGGGGACAAAGAAGAGACCGTTGTGGTGGTTTCAGCCGTAGAGGCCCGTGAAATCACGTATCCAGGCAGTCGCGCTGTTCGCATTGAGGACGTTGACTCTGCATTGGATCTGCCGGAAGCTGTAACCTTTGGAGGCTCATTGGCGTTGGCGCTGTCACGAGGAATATTTGTCTCCGTGTTGGTTGGGAGTTTTTCAGCATTGTATGGTATGTCATCATGAGAGGAAAGTCTTGATAGACTATTTGACGTGGATACTGAAGCTTTGGGCTCTTCATAAGGGAAAGATGCTCTCGATTTCGATCTTTCTCCTGGATGATGAGATATATGATTTTGAACTGGCTCAGATTGCTTTGGATTTCGCACGTTAGCTGATTGAGTGGAGTTTTCGGGTAGCTTTTGCTGGTCTGGAGTAGAGACGGACTTCCGAGACTGGTGGTCTGGAGTATAGGTTGTCGAGAAAAATGAGTCTTTGGGGTTGTATTCCTCATGATGGCTGTCATGCATTTTTGCAGACAGAACCGGGGAACTAGAAAAGTTCTGACTCAATGAAGAGGATGTCTGACTCGCGGAAAGATCCGCAGGGCCTTCCTTGCTGCCGATACTTGTCGATTCTGCATTATGGATTCCCTGGTAGGGCACATTGACGGAACTGCTTCTTGAGCGGTCGGGATTTTCAATTACGTTCAGATGAAGCTGAGTAACTGCAGGATCTGCCACGATGGCGCTACCGGTGGCTTTCGTTAACGGTGCGATACTAGGCTTGATCCCAGGGGATGGTGACACGGAGGTCTTGGAAGATATGCTGCCACTTTTGGAGGATATTCTTGATCTCTTTCCTACGTTTGATTGTTGCATAGAATCGGGATGAGTGTGAAAGTCTGGTACAACAGGTGAGTGAAGCCTTGAGCCCTGTGATGAGTTGGGTTGTGATGGCGGATAATCAACGGAGCTTGTAGCCAGGTCCGAGACTGATTTTGCCATCGAACGCTCTGACACAGGGCTCTTGACTGCAGAAGTTTCTGTGGCATTTTTGTCTGTAGACTTTCCGCCACCACTGACAATATCTCTCACTCCCCCGACAGAAGTCCTAAAGCGACTATACAGACCGCTTAGTCCACCTTGTAATTCATCAGACAATCCTTTCTCATCCGATGCAGCAGCTGGAGCCGGTGGACTAGTAAAATCGTTGAAAAGAGTGAGCGATTCAGACTGATACGCTGCATTATGGTAGTGATCCAGAGCTGCATTCATCGATTCTCGATCGGTCTGAGTCGTTGCCATAGAGCCGCGTGATCCCCGTCGCCCAAGAGGAAGCGAAGTGGAAGACACAGATGGACTGCGTGAGTCCTGGGATTGCTGAGAATCCATGGCCAAGTCAGGCAGAAAGGTCTCAGATCATCCCCACACAGGATACAGGCACCTTTGGTAACCGATCATTCAGGCAGAACTGCGGTAAGGTCTCAAGTTTGGCGAGGTTGGAAGAAGGAAGAGGATCGAGGGTTCGTTAAAAGCGTCAGGGTGATCAAAGAGACTTCAGATGTTCTTTTACAAAAGAATAGGTCCTTGGCCCTCACGTTGAATGACGTGGTGGTGCTGAGTAAGCTAGGCGCGTCTGGGCAGCTCCGATAAGACGCGGTTCAGTGGATTTTTGATGTGCGACCTTCTCTTTTTTTCTACACATATGTAGGTAAAATACACCTTACAAATATCCCACCTAGGCATCCCTCCACTGCTTACTCTTACTAGCTATGACCCATATGCTGGGTGCATTGATCAAAAGGCTGGATTCGCACGATGAATCCAGTAAGTCCCTGGATTGCGGCTTTGGCCGACCAATGTCTCTCGTTCTACCTCGGTCAAAATGATCAAGATGATATCCAGGTGGAGGATTTTGAGGGATGCCTCATTTTCATTATCCGCAGGCCCACACTAAACTCAGCCGTTGTTGTGTCGGTAAGATATCTCAAGCGGATGTGGGAAAAAAGAATTGTTGCTAATTGCATGTATTTTGTCTCTCAGTGGGGACAAGGAGAGGACAGTCATCGAGCCACATTCACAGACTCAAAGAACCAGATCGATGCGATTATTCTACGCGGCTCGCCGGACGCGCAGGAAGAAACCTCACCCTGCCCACCGTCGGTCAAAGGGGGCCCTAGGCACCTGGTTGAGCTTTCCGATATCAAGCTCATTTTTACGTACTCGGCATCTGTTCCGGATGTCTACCTGCACGTCAATCGATTTACCATCCACCCGAATGCAGTCTCGAGAGGGGATGTGCCGAAACCAAAGCTCAAGAAGACACCGACTCTCAGAACCCTAATGACCATGGCATGCGAGAAAATCCGAAAGACACAAGCGCATCCTGGCTCCAATAGTCAACCTAATACTGGCTTGACCGACTCATTTGTCTCTCAGCGTGATCAACCTATGCCACCCCATCATTCTCAAAACAACTCGACATCGCAGTTGCTCTTCTCCCAACCCCTGTCTAATATGTGCCATGGCGCACCGAACGGTAATTCAATGACCAATCGTGTTTCCCTCAACAGGTCATCGGATCTTCTAGGATTGCTCGCTCCTTCTCGTCCAATTCAAACGGACGGCCCAGCCACTCAAGAACTTCCGGAGACCCATGGACTATCTCTAGGTGAACGTAAAAGCATGCGCTCTTCCTTGCCAAATGGGAGGAAGCCACTGGCACCACAAGAAATTGACGCATATCCAACCGGAACACAACCCTCATTCCGAAGACTTTCTAGCAACACTGCTGATGCGACGCGCACTAGTAACTCTGCTACCAATCTGTCTCTCGCCAATCTCAGTGAAGATGTGGATAACCTAATAGCGGAGTGTCGAAGTCAGGTTGCGCAATCTCCAAATCAGTCGGATGATCATGACCGGGCTCATACTGTTGGAACCGGGGATAACCAGCAGTTTTCGAAAAAAGACATCGTGGCAGTACAGATGCACCGCCACAAGAAGCTCGGGATGATAACCTGGACTCACAAGGCCCGCAGAGCCCACACACATCACCTTTCAAAAAGCGACAGCGTATTGATGCCGGAGAGGTGATGCCGGCAGACACAACTGAATCCGAACAAGTGCAAAATAAGACAATGGCGTCACTTCCTACAGTGCAGATCGTAAGCACCAAAACAGACAGAGTGTGCCCATCCACAACTAATCCATGGGAAGGAATGATACAAATACCTTTGAGCGAAGTTGATATTCCAAAAGATCAGGCAGAACTTTTGGAAGAACTCAAATGGATTCCTCAGGACCCCGGTGTATCTGCACCTCTATGCCATTTACCACCTCATCTTTTGACGCGATGGAACAGCATTGCACGAAGAAGACAACATTTGGCCGAAGAAGCGGAAGAAAAACAAGAAGCAGAAGCAGAAGCAGAAGCAGAAGCAGAAGCAGAAGCAGAAGAAGCAGAAGAAGAAGAAGAAGAAGAAGAAGAAGAAGAAGAAGAAGAAGAAGAGCAAGTATCCGAACATGACCTTACTCCGACCCCGCACGATATCCAAACATCCCCCATACCATGGTCCCCGTCACCCGATAGGACCCCTGCTCGAGATGTCCTTCCACGAGACACCGCCTCTCCCCCAAAATACATAAGGCCTACCAGAAAGCCCCCTACGCCAAGCGGTACTCAATGTAACGTCTATCAATCTGCAGATGATGGCAATGTGGACATGGTGAACGGATCTTGCAGTGCTTCATTTCAGCCAGGGCGGAGAGATATCGTCGCGTCAAAGGACAATATCAAGACAGCAGGGCAACAAAGGTCTCAGTCTCCCGATGAAGTAACAATAAAACCGAGAAATCCAGTGTCTTTGGGCCATGGTCCTGACGGTGACCCATCCCGAAAGGAAAACGCTCTCAAATCGCTTGATGTGGTTGATGACCAACCCGCAAGTTTGATACAAAAACTTTCTCATGATGAACTACTCCCGCAACATCCTCCGCTTATATCTGAGCTCCGTGATGAATCAAGTGGCGATGAGAGCGACGAGCCAGAGATGGAAACATATGTCCCTTTCGCTCTGGGGGGAATCATTCCATTAAGCAGTCAGCCTGAGCAGGTACTTACTAGCTCGGGGCCATCGCTTCCAAGATTTGCAGGGGGGACTATCCAAGTAGTGGAGACACCTGCAGTCCATATGTCACGTCTGAATCCCGAGAAGCAAAGCAAACAGAGAGTTGGATTAGAACTCCAGAGTTCTCAGAATCCATCATCTCGGGCTGCCAATACATCCTCTTCATCTCGAATCCTCAATACCTACCGGTCACAAGATAGCCATGGGCAAAGTGACCCATCCCAAGAGGCACCAAATCCATCTTTACCGACATTGGCAGACGGTTCACTGCGAGTGGATGTGCTATGTACTCAGACTCAAACGAGCAGCGTACATGCGCCATCACAGGCGACAGTCCAGTCATCTTCGGACGTCGTACTTGATTCATCGAGACCTGCTCAGCGACAGCGTGGCTCTTCTATCTTCCATTTAGACCACTCAGATGACCCATCGTCTTTTCCTTATGTCAGGTGCCACTCGCTATCCATGTCTCAACTTCATGAACCAAGCCAAGATTCTTCCAGAGGACCTTTTTCCCTTGACGGCGCCTCGCAGTTGCCGGAATTGTCACCTATGGAATTCACCACATGGCTCGCCGCTGACGGAGAATCACCATCCAAATGTTCACGGCCTCCGCGCCGCGAGGGTGCTGATACTGGCCCAAAGGCATCCCTCAGTCCAAATGTCGACTTGGTAGCACGGCGGCAGGGCTTTATCGGCAAGTCTGACACATACGCTGAAGCGCAGACGATCTATGAAAAGTTCTGCAATGATTACTCGCCATATTCTGGTGATTTCGCCCACTTCATTGAGATGTGCTCGAAATTGCAGACAATGCGGCAAAGGGGCCAGCTGCAACGATCGTTCTTATGGGATGACTTTGTCATCCAACACCTGGAGGAGTACCCACGCCATCTTGCAGAGCGCACATCTCAAGAGTCAAAGGCACTGGATTACGAAGATTTCTTTTGCTCGAAATTCTCACGCCCCCAGCACAAAAAGAGAAGCCTAACAGCGCACGGGGTTGACATAGTCGCGTCTCAGTTTGTTCCGCCAACCATTGAAGGCGAGGAAACTCAGGATCAAGTGCTGCAAAGCGAAGCGGCCAACACTCCTTTCACCGCCAGTCTTGTGGCAAGGCTTTCAACCCTTCATGCTCACTCGCTTGCTGATGTTCCTGTTCCGGATGTTGACATGCCAACTGCAACGCAGTCATCGTCATCCTCTATTGACACCAGCTCAGATTCGGTGGAGGTCAAAGTTGAAGCAAACGATTCACCCAATGGATTGATTGACTCCCAAATTACCACGAGCAGCGACGATCAGCAGCCTTTGCTCTTCGGTCTTGATGAAGAGATGGTCGATGCAACACAATACGACGCAGATAACACTCGCGTTTCGCCTGATCCGAACGACGTTGGCATGGCCGAGACCGGCATGGACGAAGTTGACGATACACAAGAAGGAGATGATACTCACCATGAAACTGCCAGCATTGAACTTGGCGATGATACTGACGATCGCCATATCTCTGCCTCACCCGCCCCGCCCGCGGCCCTGGGCTCCCTCAATGCTGCCGTGATCGAGCCGCCAAGGCAACGAAGATCTTGGTTCCGATCTCTTCGGAACATATACCCCACAGGTCCTGTATGGTCAGATGATCCCGACACGCCATTCAAGCGCTGGGCTCGCCAAGATCAGAACCTTCTCCAAGAACTCAATCGTCGCGGTGGAGCTAGGGTTCTACTTGACGAGAAGGGTGTCATATGTCGGCCTACCTACAACCAAGGAAAGAACCCTGGTCCCTAGCCATTGTATTTGTTCACGCATCTTCCATTCTAGAATTGTATTTCTATTTTCTACGGGTCAGCGGCTGGGTCGGCGCAATAGCAAGGAGCACGCATAACGGCAGATACCATTTCATTTCATTTCGTGCTTACTCGAGCAAAAGGAACCGAAATAGGGATAGTATTCTATCTTATTTTCGCATTCAGACTCAGATTCAGATTCGTATATTCTTTGTACATTATCTTCTAAACACCCAAAACCACGAAGGATGTTGAATCAGAAGACCCAAGCCCCGAAACAAACTCGATAGTTCACTAGACCCTAATCGTATGTGTGTCCATTTGCAATCGTCCACTGAAAGGTCGCAAGGACCCGCCAATCGGATTGCTTATTGCTAGATCCCCCAATGCCTCCGACAACGTCAAGCATTGATGCAAGGATAGCGAAGTAGAGATCAACAGCAATCAACTAGGCTCGTATATAATCTCGTGTAGACCATGCGCTTGATAGCCCAACGCGCTCGAGCCTCGTTGCAGATCCAAGCTTAGGCCCATAAGCTCCCGCCCGAGTCGCAAGAGCCACTTGTCTTATTCTGCGATGGTGTTGTAGCTACTTAGACCCACAGAGGAGAAGTTAGGAAGGGAGCTTATGGACTAGGGAGTCGAAAAATGTGGGGATTCTAGGTTGGACAAATTAGATAGTTCTACGAAATTAGAGATTGGAGAGCCAGGTGTTGTGTGTAAATGGATTTTGTATTTGAATCAATTTGCAGACAGATAGGTACTATGGAGGACTAGAGAAATATACAGAAATGCAAGTGTTCCCTCCCATGGAGACCATAGTCTCGTGCAAAATGGCATGATCATCAAAAATTCAGGAAAGGGCTATGGTCATTAAAGGCATGCATAAAAAAACCACGAGAACGCCTTGGTATCGCCAATCTAAAATCGCTTCGGAAGGGGTATTCATAAAAGCTCGGAATCTTTTTAGGAATGACGGAAGGGCTCGTAGGCGCTTGACTGCTGGTTGTTGTGGGTCATGGGGATATCATTGTTGTGGTTGGGAGTAGGAGGGTAGGAGGTGCTGTAACCATGCTGGGGAGCATAGGGCTGCGGGGAACCGTAGGGAGGGTGAGCGGCACCGATGGGCTCATAGGTGTAAGGAGCCTTCTCTGCGGTGACGCTGCGGGTGTCGTGGCGGTCCTTGTGGCCGTAGGGCGAGCGGCCGGAGCAGCAGCAGGTGCTGAACATCCAGAAGATGGTCGCTCCCAGGGAGAAAGCGACTGCAAACCAAGTGGCGATGTAGATGTTCTTACCCAGGTCTACCTCGACACCATAGACCTTGAGGGCTGTGCCGATGGAGCCCTTTGCGATGGAGAACATGATGGTTGAGGTAAGCGATGCGCCGAGAGTGAAGAGGAATGAAACAATCGAGACAATGGTGGTGACGCAGCTGCCCCAGCGGCTGAAGATGGCGAAGATACCAAGCAGGACCTGGGCGCAGGTTGCAATAAAGGCAACTAGGTAGGCAATGAACATCCACTTGGAGACGGCCTTATAGATGTTCAAGGTCTTCTTGAAGCCGCTGCCAAGCTCCTTCTCAAGCTGAGTCTCACTCACGCCCAGGATTGAAGACGGGTTGAAGTAGAACTGGGCCTTGGGGTCTGTGCAGGAAGAGACGGTGTCCTTGCCCTTGGTGGAATTTCCTTCGCAGTAGCCCCAGAGACCAATGTCGTAGAAATCAGCGATGTCGGCATCATTCTGGAAGGTTTTGATGGTCTCCTCGATCTCAGCTGCGGTGACAGAAGTGATGTGGAGATCGTTGAGACGATCTGTGATTTCTGATGTAATTGCTGATCCTGTGCTTATGTTTGAGAGGTCGAGCTGTAGATTATTAGCATTAGCGAGTGCACTCATGAGGTACAGTTTTGATCACTTACACGAATGAAGTATAAATTGTTCAAGGTATCAGAACTGGCTTTTGTGCAACCCAATCCCACCATAATGATGCAAATTAATGATGCGATGGTCAAGACATAGGGCGTGAAGATACACGCAACGCGACCGGCTTTCCCCATAATGGATAGGTGTATTGATAGGAAAGAAAGGATTATTGAGAAAAAGGTGAAAGATGGATAAGGAGTGGAGAGGTGAGACGGGGGAACACTTTTTAATATAAAGACATCCCCAGGTAAGTAAACAACTGTACAGCCTCACACCAACACGAACACCAGCCTCCCATGGAAGGAGGCGCAGGATCAGCGGACCAATCAGTGGCTGAGCGGTCACGTCGCCAGGGCCACGACAGGGCCACGTTTGCTTCTATTTGTGGCTGCACTAGTCCTATTTGGGTTGGCATGGTCCTTAATCTGCTCCTTCATCTATCCCTACAACACAGTCAGATCAGAAGAACTACATTTTATAGATACAATTTTGTATATAATATTGTCAAGAAATTATGGGCACATGATATCAGCTCAAATACTCATAAAATACACATAAAATATTGTATGCTTACATGGGAAGTGTACAATATACCTGCAAAACTCAATCAACGTCATATCCATTTTCTGACCGCCCCAGGATCATCATTCCAGTGGCCAAAACAGGTGATACTCCAATCCTGAGCCTCGTCATCCTCTCTACCCTGAACAGCCTTGTGGATCATTTTAAATTTTTCCCTCTCCGCCTCAAGCCTGCGTAAGCCTGGGTATGGGGTGCGAGTTAGCCAGGCTCCCCCATTTTTCTCTTGGCATTATATCCCGCCCTGTACATTCCAGTCGGCTCGTCTCCGCTGTTTCTGCAGGCAAAATCTACTGTGATGCCTTGTTCTATATTTATTCTATTTCAGATAAACTTTTCTGAAATCTGGGATAACCCCACGAACCTAACTATTGCGCAACTTAAAATATTTTGGGATATTTCCAAGGTTTCTTACGTTCTAGGCAAAACCATGCGCTGATCGACACCTATGGCCATTGGAGATTTTGATCGTTTCATTTACTACCTTTTAGGAAAATGATACGTTCATCACAAAAAAAAAGATTTTTCAAATTGCAACAACCAAACTTGATAACTCACATGCGACTATGTATATTCATATCCGCCTCAATTGACAGGGTTTACTGCAAATATGGCTCAAGTGTCGACAACATACCAGTATAAGCCGGCCCAGTGGGAGGCTCGATACTGTACATGTAGTCAGCCCACCAAGGTCCAGCAGCCCACCACAATGCGCCGAGCCAGACGTCCGAGTTTTCACCCAGGAAATCAAGCATGCCGGTAATTGCCGTCTTGCATTCATCATTGACACCACCGGCAAACTCGCCAATAACTCCAACCTTCTTGTTATCCTTCAGCCACTGTGTCGCGTCCGTCACGCGCTCCACTCCAATCGTCGTCGACACACATGCCTCGCTCGTGCCTGATCCGTCCGAGTCGAGGTACTGGTGCATCTCGTAGACGATCTTGTCTTCGGGATCGGTCAGGTCCTTCAGGTTATCGTTCACCTCGACCCAGGTCCACGCGCCGGTATAGGAGTTGCCCTCGACGAAGATGTATTGGGTCTTCGCTCCTGCTGCGCGGATACCGTCAATGGCTGCCTGGTTGAGCTTAAGGACGAGGTCCTGGTCCATGTCGTGGTACTCGTTGTCTGTGCATGATTTGGTTAATAGGCGGCCTGTGATGCGACTAAAGGTTTCGGGTACTGACTTGTGTCGAAAATGACTAGCTCGTTCTCAACGAATTCGCCTGCGACGTTCTTCCAGAATGTCTGGAAGTCAGCGGGGCTTGACATGACCTCCTCGTTGCTGTGGATACTCATAAGCTTCGATTCATTCACTCGTTAATTTGATAGAACACTTACTATCTTCCATAGTTATGGGGATCAAGCACGGCGTGGGATCCTGCGTCGGTGATGGCTTTGACCGTCTGCCACTATATCAGTATCCTCTTGTTCTCATTTTGGTAGATAGAGCACAACATACCGCGGTCAGATTGCTTAGATAGGCAGCATCAAATCCTCCAGTCATGGTGTCCGGTACCAGCCGTTCCATCTTGAAGGCGACACGGAAGATGTTCATGCCTTTCTCAGTCAATGTTTGGATTGTACTGGCATCCGGGAAGTAATAGTCCTTTCCCTGTTACAGTCTTTGTCAGTTGAGACTCTCCGAAGACATGGATATCTTTAGCCCACTCACGTAGACACCAGGAATGTTATTCTCGCCGAATTCAGCTCCAGATTCGCTTGTTCCGAACCCTATACAAGAAATTTGGTCAATGGATGATCAGAAACATTTTTTTGAATTCATGGACTCGAACATTGGAAGGGTGAAGCTCTCTTTGCATTCTTGGCAGGAGCTGCTGCTGCGGATCCAGCCACAGCGGCGAGGAGGGCAATGTGATCGAATCTCATATTGATGAGTCAAGCTCTTTGTTGGATGAGATCAATGGTTATTACCAGAAAACAAAAGAAAGAAAAATGAGTGATGTGATAGCAATGCAGAATGATACCAACAGCGCAGCGAACTTGGGCTTTTATAGTTCTCTTGTCAGTAAATTACAATATATATATATCGTTGAATAACTCGCAGAATATTCCAAATGAGTACAATCCACGGACGTTAGAGATTGGCGACAGAAAAGGACACGGAGTTTCATAGATCTTCAGTCCTTGAGACTATAGTAGCTTTCTGACGTCGAATAGGTAGGATGTGCAACAACTTCGGATATTGCAGTGCCTCGCAACAATAATCCCCCTCCAATGAGGATCCACAGAACCATGGAACATTGTGAGAAACACTCTTTCTTGGCGACCTCATGCGAAACGGCCAGCCAAGAAGGCAATGTCCCCGAGTCTTCAGGCTAGAAGAAACCTGATCCGTGTCCAAGATGAATTATCCACTGTACATCATACATACCCCGCTTCAATGAAGCTTTCTTCAGGCACAGGTGGCTTAAATATGCATTGCTTTGTTTCGAGGATTTTGATATTTGGCAAGCCCGTGGCGCTTCAGGTATCGATCGGCGTTTATAGTTTCTGACGTGCAGGGGGGAGGGATAATAAGATCACACTGCAATCAGGGGATTGTGGAGTGTAACATCCATGAATAGTCTAGTGTGGTTAATCATTTTTTACTAAATCTAGAACTAATTTGTTTTAAACATACGCTGTATAAGTGATGGAGACAGAAAACAATTGTGTGGGCCAAGTGAGCGTGGCAAGTTAATTGCAAGCTGAAACAGGTACCATCGCACTCAAATCTTCATATTCGCTCGGAAAAAACACATGTCATTCAAAAAACAAGTCAGACCATACATAACTATTTGAAACTTGAACCTTAATACTCCTAGCCCTGCAGATAATTCTCCATCGAGCCATCCTAATCAGTCTACCAAGCACCAAGAGAGTGCATGTGTTCTTTCATATCCGCTGCCTGCAGCTTGTGGTAAGCATGGCCTGGGTGGTAGTCATTCCACCAGACGCAAGAAGTACCATCATCATTGATGCAAGTAGCATCGTTGAATCCATATGTTGCAGGAGCGTCGAGGACTTTATCCATGAAGGCGAATGTATCGTAGAGAACGGTTGTAGTCTGCGGTTGGGTTAGTTGTGCAAAATCATACATATAATCATATATCAGAACGTACGCCACTGTTATCTGCGATGAATTCATTGACCATTGTCTTGAGAGCAGCGTTGAAAGCCGCGAGCCACTTAGCGTGGTTGGTCGCAACGGCCGTGCCTTGATTGGCGATCTGGGGAGATCGGCTTACAGGCGGGACATTGAGGAAGATGAACTTCCGTCCACCATTTGCGTAGAGCTTTTCGGCTTGAGCCTTATACTGGGCCATGATCTTTGGAACCAGGACACTGGCGTCGTTGCTTGAGGCAGCCCAACCAATGCTGCAAATTGAAGGATTAGTCTAGTCGTCAATGGGGATTTATGGGAACATACTCATTAATTCCAATCCAGAATCCAAAGACTGCGTTGTCTGAAGTCCATGGTGCAGTAGCAGGCTTCTTACTGTACGCTGTCTCGAAGCTGGCGACTTGCGTTACCATATCTTCCGCGGTATTGGTTTTGACAAGGGAATTGTCAAGGGACGCCCCTCCAACAGCGAAGTTGTAGCTGAGGACCAAGGAGGCATTATTCACAGTAGTCAGGTCTCCCACCCAGTTGATGCCGCCACCAGTTGTTCCGGTACCTGTTGTCTTTGATCAGTCAAGCCTGCTTGCCAGGGGCCGAACAACACTCACCCAGTGTTGGGTTCCCCATGGGGTTGCCAGGGGTTGGCTGTGTGCCACTGACATCGAAACTGGTCATGGAGTAGGAATCACCACTATGGATACCTTTTAGCTCCTTCCCTGGATAATAGATAGGGGACAACCATCACTCACAACGTAAAGAAAAAGCTGTTGGTAGCGCGAGCTTGCAAGGGAGCAGCAGCAGCCAGCCCAGCGCCGGCGATCATACTAATGATATACTTCATGGTGAGGAAGATGTACAATGCGTAGTCTGCTGGAAGAATATTCACACATTACAAGGTTCGCACCTTGCATTATATACATGTACTTATCCCTTGTTTCGTCCGTCGAAACTCATACTCCAAGTAAACAAGCCCCAGCGCCGAGACGAATAAATTAAAAAACGCGAGACTATGTCATTTAATTAACCAATTTCGCCAATCATTTCCTCAATAGGCTCGTTCCGGCTCATCCATATTAAGCTGAATGAGGACGGTGAATTCCCCGAAACTGCGGGGTAGATATTGCAGTGAAATAATCAAGCTATTTCGGAAAAGCTGAGTAGTTCGTTGGAGTTGACGAATACCCCAAGATATTACGGAGTATATCGGCCAGTCGTATGGGTTTCCTCTAAATACGGATCCGTTCTGCAGCTAGAACGCATGCCTTAATTTATTTTTGTCTTCCTCTTAGCCGAATAGTTCACTACTGTCTTCCCCTTGCCCGGTGAATTTACGATCGTCATCGTCTTAGCCGAATCTGTGGTCTCGCGTGGTGTAGTCTTGCATGATGTAGCCTCACATGGTATCATCTATGTTCATATTGTTGCATTGAAGTCTTATCTACCCGACATCGAATCGGCATCATACAGGTAAGACTCTATCCGATTCGGCAGCAAACATCTCCATGCCCACACCACATACAACCAATCGCGACTGGTTGTTTCCCGATCCAGACACGTAGCTCTCTGCAGGGAGGCTATTTCCAGGTCCATGGACAAGCCCCAATGATGATATATCAGCGACAGAGCTGTATGTATCCAGTAAGAATTCCACAATAATCCCCTGCGTACCAGGCTGTGAAGGGTCCACGGCGATTGACCAAATTTTAACTCGGTGGTCGTTGCCAGAGGATGCCACAGTGATTTTGATGGATTCTGTATCCGATGTAACATCTCGAGAGATTTGCTGATTGAGTACCTTGACCGTGGTGGCCGCCGCAGCGTGAGCATCGGGGATAGAAACCGTAGCTACCTGTGCATTTGTGCCGGTGCCGGATGGGTGTGTTCGTAGGAGGGAGACAGAGAGAGAGTTATCATCACCTCCAGCCACAACAACAGTGGCTGTGTCAGAAATAGGAACCAGCTCCATCCCCTTGATGCTGTTGGAATGAATCTGATATCGACTTTCACATGTGATATTTTCTGGTGAGATGGAAGAGCCGTCGAAGGGGTGCTTGGCCTTCAAAGTGGATTGTGTGATGGTGTAAAATGGTTCAAGCGTGCTTGTTAGATCCCAGAGTGTGAAATAACCATCAGTTGCTGCGGTGATGAGGCTCACAGAGGAGCTCGTGACCAAGAAGTGGGCTTGGGTTAAACAATTGGTCATATATTTCCCACGAGCCAGGAGAGTGAATTGTCCTCCATTAGATGGTGAAAAGTGGAAGATCTGCGATGACGTTAGTATTGGCCGAGGTATTTGAGGGAAAGAACGACTCTTACCTTGAAAACGGAGTTGGAAAGAGCAAGGCACAGGAGGAAACCCTGCTCCCCATCAACTTCCTCTACTTCCAGCAAATCGAAACTAGGTATCCGGAGATCTGAATGCTCGTCGTCCTTCGGACTGGCAGCCATCAATTTCGTAGCAACGCCGAATACAGGAATGGTGCGGACACTCCATACGAAAAACTCTTCGTATGCAGCACTGGTGAATAGGTATCTTCCATCCTTGGACCAAGTCACCTGCTGGATCCCAGACTTGTGTGTATCCAAGACGCGCAGACACTCAAAGCTACCCCACGGACTAGCAGCCAACGAGGAGGTCGGCGTGAAAATACGAACAGTAGTGTCCTCTGCACCAGTCGCGAAAAGAGTGCGATCTCCAGTAGTAGGGTTGAAAACATCCATCGCTTTAATTTCCCGTCCGTGACCTCCAGCTCGAAGCAAAGTACTAGCACCAGCTCGTATGGGAGTGGTCATCAAAGAAAATCCGTCTTTCCACGTGAAGAAAGCACTATTGTTTTTGTCCCCTGGGATGAAGTCCCAGCCTCGGCGAAATCCGCCTGAAGCAATGGACACGATATCCGTCAACTTCGACTCGTTGCGGAGGACAAAATCTTGGGATCTGAACCCGTACAACATGAAATCACCAGTCGCTCTATCGAAATAGGCGCCTTCGATGTTCCCACCGGTTATAGATGCTGTACGGTGCACTGTCTGTATCGATACAGGATCTGTTCCATTCCCACAAAGCTGCAACTCGTGGAGGCAATAAGTTCCGTCTCGCCCACAGGTCAATACGAAATCCGATTTTGTGGTGTCACTCGTAGTAACAGATGTCACAACGCTAATGTGATTGACAAACTCTCGGCCATGAACACGCCGGCTGACCAATATGGGCTCAGCCTCGGATGTATTGTATATGGCAAGGCCGCCTAATTTTGACCCTATAATCAAATATTGGTCCTCAAAGAGGAAAGAGGCACTGCACACCACAAATGTGGATGGTAGCCTAAATGTGGTTGTTTCGGCATTTGGATGATCACTGTTCCAGTCGGAGACAGTGACGAGTGTTACTTCTTCTCCGGTAGGATAACAGACAAGGAAGGTGATTTTGTTAGAAGGATTCAAGGTATCCGTCTTGGAAGAGTGGGTCTGAAGGAAGAATGATTGAAGAGGCCTGTTGCTAACGTCTGCAATGTTGATAACAGATTTCGTAGCGTGATTATAGAGTCGAAAGAATCCTTGATAATTACCGATCAATGCTAGACCAATCTGCGGCAAAGCAGTTATGACGGCAAAAGAAGCCAGTTCCGGGGTTTCACATATTGTCTCCCAAGTGATGACAGTCTCCTCTGCCTGGTTGAGATATCCAAGCTGGATCTGACCATGTGTAGAGACGCGAAGAAGACAGTCCTGGGCGACAAATGCAAAGACTCTCGCTCCATCTGCTGTGGGATGCTTCTTCTTCGCCTTTGCTTGCAACCCAGATGATTGCTGCAAAGAAGCACCAGCGCAATAGCTCAGGTGTTCATCGTCATTTTCTTTGATGGGGAAACTCTTCAACGCACCATCGGCGCCTCCGGTATAAACCACAGTCTCAGAGCCAATTCTGCAAAGATCCAAAGACCAAATGTGCTTTCCAATATGTGTTTGTATTGAAGAAGTCTGGGTGAGCTGATAATCAGTCGTCCCGGCGGATGGTGAATGCCAGCTTAGGTCCCACAAAGCACATGTGCAGTCCTCTCCACGAGAAACCAATCCCATATGAGTTTGATTATTATTTGTGATGGCCCTGAAATAGACACCCCAAATGCGCGACGTATGAGCAAATGCCTGGACTACGCATGACTCAGATCCAACGCTCTCCTCGCCTGCCTCAACAGGACCAAAGCCTGTGCTTCGTAATTCAAATCCATCTGTGGAGTACGCGGAAGGATCTTGAGCTGTTTTGTGTTCACAATCTGATATATCCCAGATTCTCACGGTTCTATCGTCACTGCAGCTGGCCAGTATTCTACCGGACTGGCCTCCATTCAAGGTCTGGATCTGGGGAGAGATCCGAACACCGAAGACTGAACCGTCATGCCCCGTGAAGAAATGGTGGATGGAGCCGACTGCATTAGTTTTGTGCGATCCATTTGTATTCAAGAAACAAGACCACACGATAATTTCCCCGAAGACGGTACCAGCGGCAATGAGGACATGAGAGGAAGACAGCGCAATCACATCGGCGGAATAAAGGATAGATTTCACACTTGTCGCCAGCTGATATATGGATATGGTTGCATTTCTCTCGGGCATCTCACTGTCGAGCACTTCGAGACTCAGGAGTGCATTGTTCGAGGTGATAAAAAATGCCCCGTGATGACCACCTGCAGCAGCTGCGCACCCACTCATGATCCAATCTGGAGCAGTGAACTCGGCACTACAGGCCGACAACGCGACCTCATTGTCAGTGACCAGAGAGACGTTGACCGCTCGCACTGAGCGACCTCCCCAGACGATTATTTGGACATGGATCGAATCATGATCTTGTGGTCGTTGATCCAAAGTAATGTAACCATGAATATTATTCCTTTTGAATATCTGGATTTGACTGGTGACAACACCGGTGGATTCATCAACCACCCGGAAGTATGTGCCTTGACTTTGAAAGATGAAACGTCTATCACCCAATACAAACGTCTTCAACGCTGTTATGGGGAGAAAAGCATCAATATGCTGCAATTTGAGTCAGCGGGACAGCATTTTTACTACAGATATCGCAACACTGACCTCGAGTGAGAGAGACATTGCCAACTTCTACGCACATTAAGAAGAGAAGCAAATTACACGGAATGTCTCAATTGCCTCAGATCCAAGTGTACATCCCACCAAACGCCAAAAAAAGCCCACTACTTTTTCGATGATTTCCCCGATATGATTACATAACTCTGTCACTAGTCCACATGCGGTAATATTACTCACGTGATCTCGCGATCGAGGCGCGGGAGCGGAATGGGGCTCGGCGCTCGGTACTCACGTCACTGTCTAGTCCTGTTTCGCTGATTAGCCACCTGCGAGCACTCCTCTTGCTACATGTGGATTCTCTTTAAAATGCTAGGCCTCTCCAATAGAGACTCATGATCTGATACCCCTTTGACTAGCCATGGGTGTCACCGGCCTCTGGACGGTCGTGCAGCCTTGCGCTCGCCCCATCAAACTCGAAACGCTCAACAAGAAACGGCTCGCTGTCGACGCGTCGATTTGGATCTATCAATTCCTGAAAGCGGTTCGAGATAAAGAAGGCAACGCGCTCCGAAATTCTCATATCGTTGGATTCTTCCGCCGCATATGTAAGCTGTTGTATTTCGGGATCCGTCCCGTCTTCGTCTTCGATGGCGGGGCCCCAGTCATGAAAAGGCAGACAATCGCTGGCCGAAAGAAGAGACGCGAGGGTCACAGGGAAGACGCTGCGAGGACCGCGGGAAAGTTGCTTGCCGTACAAATGCAACGCAGTGCGGAGGAGGAGGACGCCCGTCGACGCAATAAGACCCAGATACAAGAAGAGGAAGATGTGCCAGATGCCCCGGTCTACGCAGAGGAGGCTTTTATGACAGAGACAGAAAAGCAACAAAGTCGCAAGTTCAAGAAGAAGGACGCATACCACCTACCTAAATTAGACGTCTCGCTCGAAGATATGGGAGCCCCAAACGATCCACGCATCATGTCCCAAGAGGAGCTGGAGGAGTATGCTAGACATTTCCACCAGGGTCAAGATATCAACCTTTACGATTTCTCCAAAATCGACTTCGACAGCATGTTTTTCCTTAGTCTGCCCGCCACTGATCGCTACAATATCTTGAATGCAGCGAGACTGAGAAGCCGACTCCGAATGGGTTATTCGAAAGAGCAGCTAGATACCATGTTCCCCGACCGCATGGCATTCTCGAGGTTTCAAATCGACCGTGTCGCAGAACGTAATGACCTTACGCAACGATTAATGAATATAAACGGCATGAACGGAGAAGAAGCATTCTACAACTCTGGGAAACGGATTGCAGGAGAACGTGGCAGGGAATACGTGCTTGTCAAGGATCGCGAACATGAAGGTGGCTGGGTCCTGGGTGTTGTGGGAAACAGGGAAGGCCATGAAGAGAAGCCCATCGATATCGATCGACCTGAGATACTGTCTGACGAGGATGAAGTGTCGGAAGAAGATGAGTTCGAGGACGTCCCAATCGAAGGTCTGAACCGACTTCCCAAACTTCCTTTCCTTCGAGAGGGTGTGTTCGACCGGTCGCTTCAACTTCAAACGGACGAAAATTTAGATATGAGAAGGGCTATACAAGAATCACGTCAAGCTGCACGGCGACAGTCAGTGAATGAACATCGTGTACAAGAGGTTGAAGATGACTCGCTTTTTGTTGAAGCCGAAGGAAATATTGGTGCACACGACACTGACGAGTTCTTTGATGGCGACGACGATGACCTCGAACGAGCTATTGCGCTTTCATTACAACCAGATAAAGTCGATGACGAAGATATACCTGATGTGCTTGATATGCCCATTCATCGACCAGTCAAATCAGCTCCATCTTATGAGACGGTGCCAGAGCTTGATTCCGAGAGCGATGATGGAATGGACTTTACTGCTGCCATAGCAAGAACAAAGGTCTCGAAGAAAGCATCTAATGCACCAAATCCATTCAGCGGTCCTCTCCCTTTTGAATCCATCAGACTCACTAAGGTCACGGATGATAATGATAAAGCTGGTGTGGTTGGCGAAAGTGCAGGCGGTTTCGTGAAGGAGCCTACAAAGAAACCAAAAAAGACGGACCCACTTCCTCCGTGGTTTGTTGGTGAGCCCTCTGATTCGGGATTCATCGTTGATCCCGTTGAAGATCCTGAAAAGGATGACGAGCAAATTGCGGCGCCAGATCATCTGTTCCTCTCCAATCGTCGCTCGCCGGACATTATTGATGTCGACGAAATTTCCGCCAACAAGGAAGTCGTTGATCTAGAGGAGGAGGAGGAGGAGAAACACGAGCATCAAGAGAAGAAACCCGAACACGAATTCCAAGTGGAGGACATTGAAAAAATTTACAATGAGCTTTCTCCTCCAAATCTTGATGAGAAGAAGGCTTTGAGCGAGCCAGTTCCAGCTCCAATCAATACCGATGAAATGATACTTGAGCGCACTGGAACACATATTCAAGAACAAGTGCCCGCGCTTGATGTTCGGTCTCCACGCAGCGAACATTCTCTTTCACCAGAATTTGAAGATGTTGTCCCTCAGCAGCCCATTCAAGGCCCTGAGATCACTGTTGTATCCCACCAAAAGGCCCAGCCCCAGCCTCAATTGTTCGAAAATGTCGAAGAAGCTTTTGTGCAGGACCAAGCCGACTTCAGTGACCCTGAGGATGAAGACCTGTTCAAACAACTTGCAGCTGAGGGCGAGGAGCATGTGCGATTTGCCAATACTCTTAATTATGCTGCTCCCAACCAGGAAGCCTTTGACTACGAGCAAGAACTGAAGCAACTCCGATCTCAGCAGAGAAATGAGCGTCGCGATGCCGACGAGGTGACTACTATTATGATCAATGAGTGCCAACAGCTCTTGACGCTCTTCGGATTGCCCTATATTACCGCGCCTATGGAAGCCGAAGCGCAGTGCGCCAAATTGGTATCGCTAGGCCTTGTAGACGGGATTGTCACGGATGACAGTGATATCTTCCTCTTCGGTGGCACACGAGTCTACAAAAACATGTTTAATCAAAGTAAATTCGTCGAGTGCTACTTGACGTCTGACTTGGAGAAAGAGTACGCCCTACATCGACAGAAGCTTATTAGCTTTGCCCATCTCTTGGGCAGCGATTACACAGAGGGCGTTCCTGGGATTGGTCCTGTCACAGCCCTAGAGATACTCACCGAGTTTTCGAACCTGGAAGAGTTCCGCAATTGGTGGGCCGACTTGCAAATGGGTACGAATAATACAGAAGATGCTCACCTTCCCTTTCGGAAGAAATTTCGAAAGAAGGCATCCAAGATCTTCTTGCCTCCTTCATTCCCAGATCCCAAAGTTGACGAGGCATACCTGGAACCCGTGGTTGATGACGACCCTTCCCAATTCCAATGGGGTGTTCCTGATTTGAATGGTCTACGAGCCTTCCTCATGACAACAATCGGCTGGAGCCAAGAGCGAACGGATGAAGTCCTGGTACCGGTCATTCGCGATATGAACCGACGAGAGCAGGAAGGTACACAGTCGAACATCACACAATTCATGCAAGGTCCACAGGGCGCGGGTGCATTTGCGCCTCGTGCTCGTACAGGTGGACCCAGTCGCATGGAAAAGGCCTTTAGTCGACTACGTCAGGAAGCTCAGACAGGCGGAACCTCACTAGATGGCGAGCCAGCTATCGGGAACGAAGAGGAAGAAGAAACCTCTGTTTCACAAAAGAGAGGCAAAAGAGGTACCTCAACTGCCAAGGCCAAGGCTGGCACAAATAAGAAGCGAAAGACTCGTCGCGCCTCTCCTGAGCCATGATCTGGGGATTGGTGAACTAAGGTCACAGGCAGCATACTATTACTTAGGTATCAACACCTTAGTACGAGGGTCCCAACAAAATGATACTACCTAAGCCTTAAGTCTGTATAAGTGGAAGTTCCTAGGAATACGTATAAGACACCAGACTCCTACGAAGAACCAAGCTCTTTAGGCATTAGGTTATATCTTGTTAGGAATATACGAAGCATAAATTACAAGTGAAGGAGAGATCATATTCGGGACTTAGGGAGTGGAGTGTATCTGGGTTCCGCTAAACGCGACGAACTCGCCTTTCTTCACTTCCTCGTGCTACATCTTGTATCTAGAGTTGACTATAGCTGTTCTTGATATTGATTTCCATCTCGAACAGGCGGTCCCTGTCTACGGATACGTGAGATCCCTCACAAGTTATTTCATACAGTAATGTGTCCGTTTATAGGACAACTGATATACCTAGGACCCCAAACATATGTATTCTATCAACTTCTAGTAGGCGAACGTAAGAAAACCCTTTCGCATCTACTACTATCGAAGTCAACAGTCTAAGAACAAGAAAAAACATGAAAAACAAATGTAAACCAACGCCCCGACAAAAAGCGACTATACGACCTTCATGTCTAGGGAGCACCAGGGTTTTGAATGGCATGACTCATATTATGGCAGGCTAGTTAATTACCTAGGTAGCTATACGTACTTGATTTCCTCTGCGGGGTGGGGATTTCCTATCTTAGCTGCCGCCGCTTTTATGAGGGCGCTCAGAGTCAGGCTCACCGAGTAAATTTCTGCCCGGGCTCAGACTAGGCACGTGATTATCCAGTGAGATCTAAGGATCGCTCACTGATCGCTCACTAATTAACTAGTTAAAGACTGGTGTTAACTAGTTATTAAGCACCTAGTCTCCACTCAGACTATACCCAAAGAAGCACTTTGCTCCACAATAATATTTACTCTTGCGTCTACTTTTTGATGGCCCTCAATTTTCACTATGCTCCTCCTATTATTGAGGTGTATGATCTTCTCATTAAAAATAGCGCACTCAAGCATGATGACGCAATATTGGAAGCACAGAGTCCATCTGTCACGGGGAGGTGTCGGAGAACAGTCTTGCTGCCTCCTCCTTTCTCCATTCCATATCGCAACTTCGTTCATTATGTGCTTCGTCCTCAGTAAAACCGCATGTTTTGCGGTATGTTCCAGATCACCCGACAGCTAATAATACATGAAAAAAACTCGGAAGGGGTGTGCAAAACGTAGACAAAATAGCAAGCTAGCGGCAAGTCTCACCGAATATGCTATGGCATCCGGCGATAATAGCTCAGAACTCCACATTCACACTAATCCCCATCCCTCAGCCACCAGATCATCGAGGACAGCACTATAAGCAAAGACCCCATCACTCAAGTGGAAAAAGCCGGATACCCCACCTGATTCAACGTCTACGATTGGGGCGCCGCACACACCATCAGAGATAGGCCTATTAACATTTCCAAAAATGAAATCCACCGACCTGGTTTCCCATTCTTCAAATTCGATTTCGGGATGCCCAGCTGGACGTTTCGGTTGCATGGTTTGGGTGCCGATATTCATCATGTTAAAGAGCCCTGAACTCATGCCGTCCACTTCACTCCATGAGCCTTGGGAGATTTGAGACATTTCTAGGAGGCGAGTAGGTGGTTTGGCTTGAAAGTAACAGGAATTAGTGAAGCTAGATGAGGCAGCGGGCGTTAGCTTGACGAGAGCGATGTCAAGCTCAGGTCGGGTATCGACGACCTCGCCGATAAGATCTCCTCCATTCACAAATGGGTGGTATACTTCCTCTGACGAGAGAAAATCATGATTGGCGACTGTCAACATTTCTTCGCCCGCCAGATTGCGAATTTTGATACCACACGTGGTTGCAGCGTTTATGAAGTCGGTTGGGGCACCTGATATCCCGAGACCACTCTCAATTCTACATCCTGGTGTAAGAACCAACCGCCGAAGGTAGTTTGAGTCATCTTGTGGTGCAGTACCAGCAGCCGATACCAGGGATGGGTCAATAAAGCGAGGGCGGGTAAGGTTTCTCATAGTGCTAGAAAACGGTTTATCTCCATGGTGGTAGAGTGCTGTTCGGCCTGCGACGACCCCGGGAAGGGATTGCTTTTTGTAGCTCCGGCCATCTCCAAACTCAAGTTCGAAGATAGTCCAAGCCGGGAGAAAATTAGCAGCTCTCACACGAGCAAGTGGCACGATGGCAGTAAGCACAGCAACTATCTGACGCTTAGTCGGATTGGTTAATTTGGGCCACCGGACAGTGGGACAGGGATCGGGAACACGATGATTCGAATATCCAGATAAGGGGATTGGTTCCCTAAACATCTCACCGGGGCGCACGAATATAACAGGCATCGTTCCAAGGGTCAGTGGTATTGGCTGGGGTGGAGAGGCAGTCTCCACACAAATAAGCCACCCGGAGATGTGCACTGTTCCCTCCCCGAACCTACTACGGATCCAGGTCCAGTCCTGACGTGAGGGGTGGCGGAACTTGTGGTTTTGCTCGTTCCAAAGCGTGAATGGCGCCATGTCATTCAAGTGACGTGCACCCCAGCCGCCGGGATTTTCCCAGCGTTTCTGTTCTGGGTGTTTTCTCGGGCGCGAAGCGGACTAACAGGCGCATTATCATATATATTAGTGTAGGGTGAGCTTTGTTGGAAGCATTGAACGTGTGGGGATAGGCGGATTGGGGATGCCATCGGAGTTACCATTCTGCTGACTGCTGATGGTACAAGCTATGGGATGGGGGAAGATGATGTATACCACTACCTAAAACTGGACTAAAAGAGGGACTTGGTCACATGACCAAGCCACCTGACCACAACATAGGCAGGGGGCTAGTTACATGGTGGGGTTTCACGTGGTCCAAGCCACGTGACCTTAACACATCTTCCCTACCTTCCCATTTTCTTACCATGGAATACTTCCAACATACCGCCCACATCGGAACCCACTCCTTGAGCTATGCATTACGAGGTATTCCTCGGCAGCCCGGCGCTCCGCTTGTGGTGGTTCTTACTGGGATAACAAGTAGCGCGCTCGAATGGAGCGCGGTGTGTCGATATCTCGAGAATGAGGCATCCGTGCTGCTGTATGAACGGACTGGCTATGGTCAGAGCGAAGCATGCCTTACTGCCGAGCCTGACTCACTAACAATTGTGGATGAGCTGTCTCGGCTACTCGCCGCCGCGGCCCTGCCACCCCCATACCTAGTGGTCGGTCATTCCTGGGGCGGAGTTCTCGCGCGGGAGTTTCTCGCCGCCCACGGGCCTGAGGTGATATGCGGGATGGTGCTGGTGGATGCCGTACAGGAGCGGATGGTCTTCGAGACATGGCCCGATCCCTGTATCGCAGCCGTCACGGCGGGGCTGGATTATATGGAAGTCGTGGGGCTGACCCACGATTATCGACTAACAGAAGTCGAGTGGGCAGAGCTTATGGCAGAGGAAGCTAGTCCACACCACGAGCAACAGGCCACCCGCGAGCTGCCCTATCTGCAGATCAGCCGCCCCATCCTAGCCAAGAAACAGCAACTTCTCCCTGGGCGAGACCTCCTCTGCGGCCAGCCGCTTAGTGTGCTCCGGGGCAATTCGCATCGGGACCAGGAACGGATGTACCACCGTGGCGTGGCAGAAGGGTTGGGGACTGAAGTCGAGCGAGCGGCCTTTCGTCACTATCTAGAGCACTGGGATGCTAGTGAGGAGGCCTTGCAGCGCGAACTCCTGAATCTGTCAAGTAACGCGCGCTTCTCCACCACGACTAAAAGTGGTCATAACATTCAGATCACAGAGCCAGAACGCGTCGCTGATGAGATACGCTGGGTCCTACAGAGGACTTCATCCGTTTCCAGAAAATCGCCATCTGGTCATTAAATAGTGGCCTAACAGTCCCTGGACACTATTTACATCCATATTGGCCTGGATACGGGTGTTTGTCTATACTTCTATGAAGCGAGCGCAGTTGCATGTTGATGAACTCGGCAAGAGAGAGGTTTAATCTTACTTTTCACACCCAAGTAATCACATAATGCAGAGCATTGTTTCCTTTCGATCAGCCAGCATTATGTATGCATATAATTACGTGCTCCATGGTGTTCAAGCTCAGCCCGCATATATAAATACCAGAAATAGTCATTTATCCGTAGTATTTATAATACCTTCTATCCATATGCAGAAATCTAGCTTACTATCGCATAGTTAACTAGTTGCATATGTCCTCAGGTAGTTATGAAGATTACGAAGGTATAGGAGGGGGGGATAAGGATGGTGATCGTTTATTCCGATACAGTCCGATCTTACAATTACAAACAAAAGACATAGAAGCAGCTGATAACTGGTCTATCCACTAACGATTGCTCAAACAGATGGACAATAAAATGCAAGGGAAGCAATCCTGTCTAAGCTAGGAAACTATGACGCCTAAAAATCTTTGTTTCTGCCTGGGCATCATTTCCCATCTTCCATCTACCATCTCTACCATCTACCATCTCTACCATCTACCATCTCTACCATCTACCATCTCTACCATCTACCATCTCTACCATCTACCATCTCTACCATCTACCATCTCTACCATCTACCATCTCTACCATCTACCATCACTTAATTGTTGACCACATCATCTTTAATGACAGCCTGAGGCTAGACACTTGTGGAGATGGGTTACAACCGCAACAACCTGCGTGTCGCGGTTGACAACTAACAGGAGTGATCACCTGGGCAACCGGCCCTCCCTGGACTGCCTAACACTCTGGCACTAGCAACGGCCTCGAAACACATTTTGGTAGTTTCTTACTGATTGTGGCTTCTATATACCATTAGGAGTCTGCCGCTGCATGTGGAGCAGCAAGTGGCAAACCTCGCAAAGCCAACTGGGTAGGAAGTGTGCTCAGCTTCTGTGGCCCTAGGGACTCACCTAGCCACTATATTCATTTATATAGAGGGGCTGCTTTGCTTACCCACGCCAGTCTTGGGTTGAGCTTGTTTCAGCAGTCATTCTTTTCTTCCCCCTCTGCTCTGTCCTTCCTCAAAACTCTTCTTTCCTCTTCTTGTTTCTATCGCTTTTTTTTTCAGATCTGCCGTGCCTTATACTTTTTTCCCCACTACTTCTCGCTCGCTGCTCTATCAGGTCAGATTATACTTCATTATCTCAGATTCCATATTATATGCTAACAGACTAGGTTAGGTTAAAATATATATTACGTCAGAATGCCACAACGCTTCATGGCCTCCCATTCAAGAACAAGTTAAACACGACTCGCCCGCAGCATGAGAACTCGAACCGATTCCCCTGGATGTCCATAATATCCGCAGATCTATCTATGGGTCAAAAACGTTCGGTTCTGGCGAGCTGCACTGAAGGAAGGGCTAGATCAGAAGATCCTAGCGGCACCACGCCCAGTGTTTCGGCGTGATTTTGACGACTGTCTACGGACTGCGCTAGGTAACGATCAACTCTTCGAGGAAACAAAACCTCAAGGCAATGCGAACAAATCAACGTCAATTGTTCTAGTAACACAACTCTTATGCCATTATTTGGGAGTATGTCGGCTAATATGGGGTTCATTCTTGACTATGCTACCGTCTCCGAGGAGGAGGACTCGTTTCTAGAGCTCCCCGAAGATGAGGGCCTTACTGTTCAGCTTCCATGGTCACTAGAAGCTTGCAATTTCACGGAGTCGAATGTCCTGATCTGGACATATGATTTTGGGAAATTTTTACCGCTCGGCGAAGCTTAACCGGTCTCAAAGTCAAAGCAGGATGAGATACACCGTGAGGAAGCAAGAGGTGCAGCGCTTCTTGGTGCGGGGATGGAAGTTGCGACTGCCGTCAGTGGCTTGTGGACAAGAAGTCCAGTATCGATTTCTCCAGCCTGCCATCTAGCCCCCGAGGCAGGTTAATGCACCTCATTGCAAGAGTTTGCAGGGTTCTTGATATGTGGAACCCTTTGATCGAATACGATATAGGCGTCGCTCAAATGGGAGAAATTACAGACTCATATAACTATGCCATTGTTTGTGCGGGCCCCTATGACCACTTCCTGTCGCGGCTGCGACACAAAGTGCGCATTTTACTGGCCTCGAGAAGTGACTTTGGGGCTGAGGGAGAAAGCTACCATCTCAGACAACATCAAATCTAGCGCAGCAGTGAAACTCAGTCATGGCAATGGTATTTGTGAGAAGAACTCGAGGTCCCATCATGAAATCTCGGACGCTTTTGTGCCTATTATGTGTTGTTCGGTCTGTACTCACGAATACCCACCTCTTCATCAAATGCAACCGGTCTGTACAGCGAAAGGATCAAACCTACAAATATAGACTAGAAAGACTTAATTACCAAGTTGGAGAAATACATTCTGGTTTTTCATGTGAACTCCCTATCAACTATGAATTCTCCGTATAAAATATGGAATTAATAGCCGAGGGCCACATGTTCCCCACGAACAGGAGTTCCATCTCCGCAATCCCAGCGATCAGTGGAACTGGGGCATGGTTCTATACAGTTCTTATATACTGATAGTTCATAAGGGGAAATTCAGGTACTTCATAGTTATATGGTTACTATAAGATGTAGTATAGCATAACCATATAAATGCAACCTTAGTCCATGACATCAGGGGAACTCGATGACGTCGATCGTGAAGGTTCTACAAAATGCAACTTAGGATCGACACGTTATTGGCTTAAAAAGAACTAGAGGATGATTTTCCTGCACTTAATAGTGTCTAGCGTCTGAGCTAGTCTCTTGATTTTTCTCAGGTCCGCCCAATCCCGATCTGATCAAGTCGGGTTCTCCTTAGAAAATAGTCGACGTCACTTCCCGAGAGCTTCCAGGAGAACTTCACCTGTCAAAAAGGATCCCCCATATAACTTGTCCGCTTGCAGTTTTTTCTTCGTTACATCTCAGGTCAAGTACGTACCCCAAAGAAAAGAAAAAAAAAGAAACCCTCCTTAAGCTCACGTCACTACTGCGCAAGGCACTGAAAGTCTTTTTCTCTAATTACCTTTCTTGCAGGAAGAATCTCTCTACCTCTCTCTACCACCTTCTTCCTCCAACCTCTCATACCAACCCGTCATGCATCGCACCTACTCCATGCGCCAGTCGCGCGCTCCGACCGCATCGCAGGTCGAGAGCCCCCCACCACCATTGTCCACAACCAAGACCGGCAGATGGCTAGGGAAAGGCGGAATCGGTGAGTTCGAGATATTTCGGCGATCGGGTTTGACTGGAAATTCTCTGAGGATGTTCGTCGGGTTGGAGGTTGCCTAGTCGGGCCGCCATCGGCTCCCCTGTCCCACCTCCGACAGACGACAGCCGATTGAAGACCAGTCGTTGGAGAGCTCGTGGGGGAATTGAGAAATTGAACTCACTAACATCCTACGATCAGGCCATGCTTTCCGCAAGAATGCCGCCGGTGCCTTCGGACCCGATCTCGCCAAGAAGCTGTCGCAACTCGTCAAGATGGAGAAGAACGCCATGCGCAGCATGGAACTCGTCGCTCGGGAGCGCATGGAAGTCGCTGTATGTGGATGACCCTGAATTGTGAATGATCGTGGAACAAATTGGAAGCTGACTCGGTCGCCATAGCAACAACTCTCCATCTGGGGTGAAGCATGCGATGAGGATGTCTCGGATGTGACGGACAAGCTCGGCGTGCTGATCTACGAGATCGGTGAGCTGGAGGATATGTTCGTTGACCGCTACGACCAGTACCGTGTCACCATTAAGAGCATCCGCAACATCGAGGCTTCCGTACAGCCCAGCCGAGACCGTAAGAATTCCCCCAGCTTGAACTCCGAGCTTTAAACTAACCCAATTGAATCTCCAGGCAAGCAGAAGATCACCGATGAGATCGCCAAGCTGAAGTACAAGGACCCCAACTCTCCTCGCATCGTCGTCCTGGAGCAGGAGCTCGTCCGCGCCGAAGCCGAGTCCCTAGTCGCCGAGGCCCAGCTGTCCAACATCACCCGCGAGAAGGTCAAGGCCGCCTTCCAGTACCAGTTCGATGCTCTCCGCGAGCACTGCGAGAAGGTCGCCATCGTCGCCGGATACGGAAAGCACCTCCTCGACCTGATCGACGACACCCCCGTCACTCCCGGCGAGACCCGCCACGCCTACGACGGCTACGATGCCTCCAAGGCCATCATCCAGGACTGCGAGGATGCCCTCACTAACTGGGTCTCCTCCAAGGCCGTCGTCAAGTCTGGTCTCTCCCAGCGCTCCCGCACCCTCTCCCAGCGCCACCGCTCTAACCTCAACAAGAACCGTGAGGGTGTCGATTTGTCTTCACAGGACCAGCCCTTGGCTGGGGACCGTGACTCTTGGCTCCCGGCCGACCAGCACCCTAACTACGAGGACGGTGATGATGGCATCAGCACCATTGAGGGCGAGCTGCGTGGTCGCGAAGAGGAACGTGATCCCATTGCCGTATAAGGGTTGGGCGAGAATGATTCCCTCTTTTTCACGAATCTGACGGTTTGAAATTCGGGCAGACATCAATTCATCTGTCCAATCGTTTTCCATCTCCACATTCCTTTTTGTCAAAAATCCCCCTTCTGATCTTCCATATACTTTGTTTTATCCGGGGATTCCGTGCTATTCTCGAAGAAGACGCACATCAATCACGCCATTCAACTTTGGATGTTTGACGCGCCTTTTTTTTCACATGAACGCCTCTCAATGTCGTGATCTAACGGCTATGAATCGTGCTTGGGGGATGTCCACTTCTCCATGCTTAGATCGGGGGACGTGGGTCTAATTTTCCTTTCGTTTCTCCACGGAGTTGGAGATGCCTGAGATCAGTGCGACTGGGAATTGTCTGGGTTTTTGTCTTTTTTTTTTTTCTTATTTCCATTCCCTGTTTTTTACTTAATTGATTTAATACCATCTTACGTTGGCTTCTGGTCTGTTTTCGAGGATTAGGTCCAGGGTAATCAAGGTGTTTTAATGGATTGTTTGCAGAAATTACTACTATGCATTGTAGTATCTGATAGAGAACAGTGTGGCGTGCGTTCACGGCTGAATAGCCTTGTGGGGATAGGCAATTACCCCAGAAAAGTGAGAGAAACATGCATTAGATTCTCCAATGGCATTCGATCTCAGTGAGCAAATCACTCTGATATAGCACGCCAGATACAGCACGTCACCCACCGCTGCTTTTACGTCTTTACTATTACGTATCTAGAGAATCCTATAGAGCAGCATATGTAGGATAGCAAGATAATTCGTATAGCAATAAACCACATAGTTTATATTGCACGCATTCCAGTCCATAGATAGGTAGCAAAAGGACGGAGGAAACCAGAAACAAACAAAAAGTCCCACAAAAGATATCAAATATAAAACCAATACCATAAAGCAAAAAAAAAGCAAAATTCGACTTCCCTGGACCACAACACCGCCAACTCATCCCCTTTCCCGCAAACCAGGGGAAAGGGAGAAAAATGAAATAGGCCTTCGCAGCACACGATCTGGAGGATAAGAAGGGTGGAGAGGATGTAGATGGGTAGAGAGCCTGGGCAGATGTGAAAAGCCCGGTAGAGAGTAGAGATAGAGATTGAATCAAACGAAAGTGCCAGATCTGAAGTGCAGAAGCAAAGACCATCCCTAGAAGTCGAAAAAGCCACGGTCGGGAGAGCCGGGCAGACGAGAAGAAGAGAAGGGTCGTGACATCGTCATTTGTCTGCGCTCATCTAGCCCCATTTTCCTTTCTGTCGTTGAATATGACAGGTAGAGAGGGGAAAGATGAGTGCAGACACCATAGCAAAGCGATGGGGAAAAAAACAGAATGCTGATTCGGTACGCCTTATAGAGACCGTAGGCTGGGGAGATGATACAAAGAACGGCAAACAATAACGCAAACAAAAAAACACATTCTTCCATTTTGGCTCACTCCTCGGTGCCGACGCCCTTCTTTTTGGGCTGAATATGTTTTTGTCTGGTATTGCCTCCAGGACCTTTTAACTCGGTTGAGCTATCCTTCGCCGGAGCAGGCAAACGAGAACCAGCATCGTGTTTCTCAGTGAGGAGATTCTTCAACCAGCGGTTCTCCATCTCGAGCTGTGCAACGCGGGCCTCGAGGGAAGCGTTCTTCTCGGTAGTTTCACGAACAGTCCGTTCGAGGACCTGCTCGCGCTGCTTCTTCTTTTGACGGAAGCGGGCGCTGGCGGCTGTATTTCGACGACGACGATCTTCCTCTGCGGCACCGCGCACACCCTCCTCTTGATCGAGGGCGGCGGCGATGCGGTCGCCAGAGATCGAGGTACTGTACTTGGTGTTTCCCATTTGGCCGTTGGGCGGGGAGATGGATGAGGAAACATCGGATGGCGTGAGAGCCCCCTGTGCGTGGCCGAGCTCGTCGGGCGCATATGGGACTGGTGGGTAAATTGAGTGAGCTGAGTAGGGCATCATGTGCTCTGGGAGATTGTAGTTGATGGGCTTCTCGCCGGGAGGACCTATGGATGGAGTAAGCGAAGGTCGATATAACCCCGAGGGAATGAGCCCCATGGGTCGGGAAGTGCAAATCATATCCGAAGGATATAGGCTCAAGAAGGGTCAAGGGGATGTGCAGTTTAGCGTCAGCAGGCAACTGGCGTTTGTCATTTCATTGCGGGATTGCGTGCTCGCTATTGCAGGAGCACCGACGGTGATCTCATCCATTGAGGATGGGAGATGCATGCCAGGGTTCATTTCCTGGAACTTTGCAGCTTCGCGCTTTTAAAGAATGACATTGGCACATGTAGGGGGAGAAGAGGTTCAGCACCGGGGCTATCTGGTGCCTTTTTTTTAAAAAAAACCACAGGGAAGGAATCAGGCAATAAAAAACGGAGAGATCCAAAACTTCAATTTTCAGACATGGGAATTTCAAGCCCGGGAACTAAAGCTCAGACGCAGAGGCGCGATGGCGTAACAAATGCAACGTTGGGGCATAAATTCTCAAAAGCTTGATACGTACCATGATAGGGATAGCCTCGAAGATCGAGAGAGCTGCGGTCGTCTTCTATACTCTCATAGGAACTGACAGAGAGACCGCCCATGCCTTCGGTCTGGTCGTAATCCATACTCACGTTGCCGAATGGGACCAGCCCGGTATCAGCGTCAAATGAGTACTGTCTAGTCTTGGCTGCGGGATCGTGGCGCGACATCAAGAAATTGAAGTTCTCGAGTTTGTCGAAGACTGGGCCGGGAGCTGGCAAAGGTGGTTGTTCTCCCATGATGTTGAAGAGAGAAAGAAAGAAGAAGAAGTTTAGCCCCCTTGACCTTTAGGGTTAAGAGAGAGAAGAGGGGCTTTTGGATGTTGGTAACCCCAGATCAGGACGGGATTTTCTATGAAGCAAATCAGATTCAAAAAAAAAAAAATTGGTTTAATATAAAGGCGAAAAAGGTAATAAAAAAAGCGAGTTTAAAAAAAAACAAATAAAGAGGTAAGAAAAGACCGGGAAGTTGAGTTCTCGGCCACGATCACCTTGTTAAAGGTCACTTCATCGTCGCATGCCGCGGGAGTTCCACTAGAACGAATTAAAACGGGAATAATGGAGTTGATTTAAAAAAAAGGGGGGGCAAAGAGGACAGGCAGGAAGAAAAAGACGGCCCTAGTCGATGATCTGATAGAATGGAGAAATGTCGTGATCGCGACTTGTGGTTCGTCAGTTGAGACATTCACCGCTTTTATATAGACACGAGGGTAGATATAGTAAAGGATATAATACAAAATCTATAAGTTTATAAGTATATATATATATATATAAAAATAAACAAGCTTCTCCAGAGAGCTTCCTAGCTCTTTCAATGAAAAACAGGGGCCATGACATATATTATCCACCTTCCGAACCAGTACCTGGAGGTACGGAGAATATATGGAGTATGCAAACTTTTTTTAAGACTAAAAATTATACTAAGATATACTACGAAATTATAAACTGCAATTGTCTTTAAATTTTTATTTTATATTCTACAATTGTCCGTTATTTCAGCGCAGATGACGCGGACTAGCCCCGGTATTCAACCCAAAAGCTTGGCAGCAGGAAAATCCTCTTTAGAAAACATTTCGATCGTCCTGATGACATATGCTTTATGCTAATATGTTATTCACGGCTTACTGTTGACGCCTTTCAGCAATGATCTGAGCGGTATCCTCAACCGTCATACCTCGCACTCGATGCTCCACTCTCTCCTCGCCTAAGACGGTATCTTCCGCAATGGTCCGATAGATCTCAGCAAATCCTCCATAAACACCGGCTCCGACCCCATTCCACCCACCCTCGGCATCAAACGTCTCCCCGATCCCACGCATCTCATCCTCCCACCGGTATGCCTTGGGGCTCATACCAATCACTCCATTCGTCGCGAGCGCAGCAGTACGTGGGGAATGTTCCTCCAGCAATGTCAACAACTCCGGCAACATCGACTCCTTCTGCGCAGTGGAGAAAGACAGAATAGACAGTGCGGTGAGACCTTTTGTCAATGCAGCGAAGGATAGTTTGAGTGTGGACGCGGCGCCAATCCGAGGCGAGACAAGTTTGATATTCAGGACGTCCGCCAGCGTCGCAAAAGCAGGGGCCAGATCCACCACCCCCGACAACACCACGCTAGGTTTCTTCCAGGTGCTCCCGTCTTGCGTGCTTTGTGATGGCGGCCCGCCAATGATTCCGCCATCGAGGAAGTGGCACCCTCGGCCTGAATCCGTCGTTGTGGTTGGTTCGTGGAATAGCGCCGCCATCTCCGACGCCAGTCGTGCGGGTACCGCGTTGAGTTCAAGGTAGTATAGCTTGGACCGCTTCGGCTTGCTTTCCAAGTCTTCCAGCGCCTCTCGGAGACTGCCGGTCGACGGCTGTGCGTATGCATCTGCTATTCGTTGGGCGGTCGCCACTGCGTTCCGGGGAGGTACGATCGAAAGTACGTAGTCAGCTTGGATTACTAGCGCTTGGTCTGAAGGAAGAATCTCGATCCCTGCTGAATGGATTCGCGCCACTGTGTGTTCACTGGCGGCCGTTAGTGCTCGGCTGTGGTTTCCCTCTCTGGCGTCGTACCTTCTTCCTTCCGCGACCGTGACGACTCGGTAGTCGTGGGCTTTTAGGAGTTTGGCCATGCCTAGGCCCATGTCTCCGATCGACACAATTCCAACTGTAACAGGTCTCATGGTGAAGGGATTGCCTCTTGTCTTGAGATGAATAGTAGTACTTTCAAGTAAATCAGTAAAACACCGAGTACTTGTATCAACTTCTACTGCGGGGGTACATTTCCTCCATTTGTCAGCGAGATCCGACAGCCCTGGAGGGCTTGCAAGGTTGTGAGTATACACAATATCGTTATCGTCGGGTCGTCCCATCGCCGAGAGTGACTGGGGAATTTAAGCTTATCTTCACCCTGTATCCTTCTAGAAAAGTCTTTGAATATGTCTATTATTAACCTGAGACGATCATTCCTAATTCTTGGCTACTAATACAATCCACTTGCATATTCGGAAATGGCCAAGTCTTTGGAGATCAATAGGTACCTGTCAACCCACAAAATCCATACAAAGTTTATCAACGAGTCACGGACCGGGAATCATTTTTTTCTCTCCCTTTTCGATCTTCAGGCTCTTGGAATCCAAGCTTTTCAAGGGTATTACAGGTGAAGTTCTACAATTTCGCCTATGTTTTCTCCTGCCTTACCCGGAGAGAGTCCAAAAATATCCACTTGACACTTCGAGAATCAGGGCCGATCATCTTCTAAAGCTGAATAACCGACTTTGATTCAATTTTGAAACGGGCCCTTCTCAAGTATCCAGATGCAGAAGATCCTTCACCCTTACAAGGTATGCCCTAGAAAGATAGTACCATATTCACTGCCAAATGATGCTCATCGGAAGGGACGACCGGTACTCTCTTCTCTTATTGACATCGGGTCTCTTAGAATGTGGAGGTAAGTGAATAGTGAAGATTTTCAGGGGTTTGAATCTATATCTTTCATATCATCTGGGAAATAATTAAAGGGAAACGACCCCCCAAAAGTTTCTCCATACAGATCTCCTTGTAGCACGAATCCCTAGACTATTCAATCAAGATTTTCTCCCAACTACAACGAAAACATCAAAGCAATAATAACAAGCAAGGCTGTGCAAGTCACTTAGCATAGCCTCCCTCAGGGCCGTAATCTGGTGCATGGATTGTATTTCATCCAACTTGTGCATCTTGAAAACAGTAGTCAGAATATGCTGGACTCCAACAACAACTGTGAGATTGAGATCTTCCCGAGTCTCGGGGTTGTCAAGAGTGTAGATCCGCTCTTGACAAGATTCCAATCCACTGTTCTGGAAAGTGTCATGAAGAGCAGCAACACTAAAGAGGAATCAGTTGGTTTATCTAGCAATAGGATAATCAGACTTACTTGGGTGTTTTCCCAAGCGAAATCAGAGTCCTTCGGAATAAATCAAGTCCATATCGTGCGTTAGTGGCTCGTTTCCCCTCAGGCTCTCCTTTGACTACACATTCATGTGCGGCACAATCAATCCATTGCAAATGCCCCCCTGGCTCTGCTCACTCGTCGGTTAGATCTTAGTGTAAAGGGATCTGAGCTAGGAAGCTTCATACTAAGAAGTGTCATCAAATTCCGCACAGCAGGCTCCCATTCGTCATGAGATAAAGCCACCACCATAACTCGAACATTGACGACGTCATATTCTCCTAGAAACTCATCCGGGAATGGCTCAAGGAGATTTTGATGATGGAAAGTAATGTTCTCTGGCAATATATTCTTAGAGGGAAACATGACGCCTGAGAGGTCAAATCCGTCAAGCTGACAAGTTATTGGGAGAACAGCTGCAAGCTCACGGAGCCAGATCCTTATGAAATGGTGTCAGATCATTTATCCTTTCTGATGCATTGAAACTCACCCAGTCCCTGTACCAACATCTGCAATGCGCATCCGATCATGTTGTTTGATGGCTGGATGAAGCAGATACCCAATATTGGCCTGCCAGGCTTTGTATTGCATCTCCAGCCTATATACTTCCATGTTAAAAGGCTATTAGATAAAAATAATTACCGCTAAGGTCTTCACCTTTCGCTTTCGGCCATATTTCTAACCAGCAAATATTCACCACGTTGGACTTCGGACATTTTCGAATGCTGTAGGGGATACAATCTCGAGATGAATAAAAGACTAGGGGTAGCAGGCGTTAGAACAATCTTAGTAGGTGTAGCTACCTCGGAAAGCAATAGTAGAGGTGTTAATATAGGGTGTCACTGTAACTACTAACAAGCCTTCGGGCCTCCCATTCAGCCCCATTCAGCCCCATTCAGCCGCATTCAGGCCCCCATGCTCACCTAACGTATTCGGGCTGCGTCCACTTGAATTTAAATGGATTTATCTCATGAAATTAAATCAATTCAGCTACTTCCTCTACCTGGATATGCTTCTCTCCTATGCCCTGTTAACCTGCATACTCCATATGCTCGCGTTGCCCGCGTAGCTGGCTGTAAACCCTACGAAACCTACTCACGATACTTATTGATGCGCGCTACTTAGGCACCAAATGGCTCTAAGCGTAGCGCACGAACATCTTAAACTAAGAGATCCCGTGGAAAAGCGCCTCATTGGCACTAACTGGCCCATACTCTTTTTTAAAAAAAAGATACAGACCCTCCTTGACTTTATGTAACTCTCATTCCTCCCTTTCATTTGTCTCTCTTTCCACTCTGCTCTTCCTCTCTCTAGTCCGTTTCTTACACACAGTTAGCACTTCCTTCCAACCTTGGAAGGATTCCAAGCTTCTTCATAAACCACTCTGTCCGTATACATCAGCTTGACAATGCAGAATCTGAAAGCAGCCGCCGACGGCCCGCCGTCAACAGAGCGCCCTGTCACAATCCCTCAAGACGCTAAATGAACCCCGAATTCGCCTGGACCAAGCTCATATTGAGGTGATCAAAACTCTTACGGTACTCCTGAGCGATCTCGTCACACACCCCCGATGCACGTAACCGGCCACTATTCTTCCACATTGCTCCCACTCTCATCCCAACACCAGCGACCCTTACCCTAACCTCCTCAGCTTATAAGCGATGCTCCGCTTGAGGTGCTCGATATTACTGACACGTCCTATCAGTCAGTTTGGCCACAATTCCAACTATCGTCCCTCCAGTCCTACTCCACCATGCAGAGCAACAGACGAAACAAGTTGTGAAGTCTCTGACGGACCTCAAGACTTCGCCATCGTCGAGATGAAGGCGGCGCACCGAGACCGGAAATCCCGATCCTGAGGTGCTCTGGCAAGAAGCGGCACAGATGGTTGGATGGATTATGAATGGCGTGAACTCCCGGCATCTCACGGGATAAGGATGAGATCTATTATCCCCAGGAATACCTCGAATACATGCAAGTGAACTTCGATCTTTTCGAGAAGAGGCAGTTTGCCATGGTTATGAAATTCTGCCTTCATTTCAAACGTGAGTTCAGCGGTCTATCGGGTAGGAATAATCATACGGTATCACATGCCCGAACTCACGGGTTTCGTCAGAATTGGCAGAATTCCAACTCCGGCTTGCCGATCTTATTCTATATCTTCACGGAACTGAGTCCATAATTGTGACTCTATTCTAGTCTACAATCACCTATCGGATTCCATATAAGGTATCAAGCATAGACTTTACAATATAACCTCGGGAGATCCGAGCCGCTGACTAAATGGCTTATCCACTTCCCAATTGGCCATTTTATAGTCTTGGCACACTCGGTACCTACTTTATATTCTTCCGAGGTTGACGACGTAGGACTTTAATTTGATTCTGGTTTTATCTTTTTAGGTGGGTCATGACATAGGGGCGTTAAAGGGACTATGTAGGATATCACTCTTGTTTTTGGCTTTTTTATATGTTTTAAGATGTCTTGTTGAAATATTTCTTGCTATAAGCAGAAAAGTTATGATTAGCTATAAAAAAAATACCAGGAATAATAAGTGAACATGTAAACATGCTCATCATTCAATATCCAAGTTTTTTTGACATCTTATACACAAGGACAAGCCTGTGGATAGGCACACCTGTGACCCCGCCCAATGTACCCCGGAGAGCACAGTAACGGAATCCGTGAATCCCGACATCCGTGTGCTTTGATTATTCATCTCTTTTTTTTACCTTTGGGTTCTGTCTCCCTGGATATTATGAACATCACATCAACAGGGATCGAAATAAGAAACAGTGATCTCCCGCTAGTCTTCGCCATTTCCGCTGCGGCGACCTTTTCACAAAGTCTTGGCACGTTCATGACTCCGAGGCAACCCACACCCCTTGGCCCAAGGCAATGAACCAGTCATTTTCCCAAAGCACATTGTCCATGGATTCTGCGCTATGGAGAGGTCAACACTTGAGGGTAAGTTTTGCTTGTAGCTCCGAGTTCCACTATCCCGGTGGACTCCGGTTTGGGGGGATCCCGCATTGCTAACGGGAATATAACGCCTATGTAGGCTTGCGAGAGGTGCCATCGAAAAAAGATCAAGTGTGAGATTGAAGGGTCTAATTTAACTTGCTTGCAATGCATGCGTCGTAATGCGCATTGTGTCTTTCCGGTCCAGCATGAGAAGCGGGATGATCAGCAAACGTACGATACCATTACCATTTCCCATCTGCTTTTTCTCCATGGCTAATGCTATCACAGTAGTGATGAGTATGTCAAGTCTTTGAAAGACCGCCTCGTCAGAGTGGAGTCGTTGTTGAAAACGGCAGGCATCTTGCAAGAGAGCGATATGAGCCATGACGATTTTTCCGATGAAGATGAGGACGGACCAGCTAGTCCAGACATCTCATCTGTTTCCAGTCCAAAGTCAAATTTCGCGGCGTCTCTTCGCTCAGGCGGTGGGGACATCGAGGGCACGCCCATCTTCCGGGCGGACGAAAGAGATGATTCTCGGTATTTCGGTAAGATAGGAGTACGGCCGATGTGATATAAAACCACCAAGACTAACTCAATGCATAGGAAAATCGTGCTCATTATCAATTCTATCGCGAACAGGTATAGAGTGGATCAAGAGCAAAACAGGCGATATCAGCTTTTTGCGAATTATATCTCCTGAATCCCTTCATGAAAATCCGTGGAATCAATGGCGACCAGATGTGTTCCAAGATCTTTTTGCCTCGCATGTTTTTAAGCCTTTGCCCTCAAGGTCGGAGGTATTCTCTCTTATGAGGGATTTCTTCCGGACAGCCAATCGTCTGTTTCCTATCTATCTTGAGTCGTCCTTCATGAAAATGGTCGAATGGCAATATACGCAGCAAACCTGTGATGATGCTGCCCGTTGGGCCAATATCAACATGGTAATATGTCTGGCATACGAATATCGATTCTCGAATGGCTCCAAGTCAGAAAAGGACAAGGAGAAGTCCGAGTTATACTTCAAAAACGCCATGTCGGTCTTCACGGAATTGGCCTTGAAACGCACCGACCTACTAAGTATACAGGCTTTGCTTAGCATGGTACGTCTCCTGCTTCTTTGGCTCTTATAGAAGCATCTAACAATTTGCACAGTCGTTCTTCCTTCGAGGGAATTCTGGAACTCAATCAGCTCTGCCTCTCATCACTGCGGCTATGCGGTCTGGTCACCGAATGGGACTTCATCGAGATATTTCAAGACCAGAACTTAGTCCAGCTGAGCAAGAGGAGAGAAGGCGAGTCTTTTGGGTTGCATTTGTCCTTGATCAAAGGTAAGAGAAGTCCATTCAGATATCGGTCTCACATACTAAAATAAAGGTCCAGTACATGTCTAAGAATTGGAAACGCCCCATCACAACATCAAGATGATTTCGATGTCCCTCTTCCGGAAGAACTGGAGAGCGATAAGCATGGTGAAACCGCAAGCAACATTCCATTCTTCCGCCAGCTCTGTCAGATGGCGCTCATCAAGAGCCACATTTACAGTCGATTGTACTCTGCTACGGCGTTAACAAAACCTCCCGTTGAAATCTACAAGACGGTTAAAGAACTAGATGCAGAGCTTGAAGAATGGAAACGTGAAAACCCAACTCTCACTGAACCGGAAATGAAACATACTGAAAACGACTTCTTGTTCGGCTTTGCCTCTATTGGTCTCCATTTCGTCTATCAGAACGCTTTGATCATGATTCACCGGGTACCTATATTTCTTAACTACATGATAGCAGCCAGCAAGGAATCAGAGAAGGTCGTGTCGATCAGCAAAGCACATGCCTCAAAATCAACGGTCATTAGTTCACAGGCTGCCCGAGATACCTTGAAGGTTGTCAATAACATGCCATGGGGAGATATCGCATGGACTTGGTAAGTACAACTGTCTCATCTTGCTATATCAGCTTCATTTCTCACAGTCAAACCTCAGGTCATTACTATATTACGTCTTCCTGGCAGCATCGACATTATTCTCAGGTATCCTGCGGGATACTCGCCATTCAAAAGCCCGAGCAGACCTTCAATCCCTCAACATGGCCGCAACGTTCTTTGCAACTCTCGCTCCAGGTAACGGACCAAATAATTACGCCGTATTTATGACCCGCATCAGCGCGACTCTCGAACGCATCGCCAGAGCCGCCGTCGAAAAAGATGAGAAAAGACCCCGCGCCCCAGAGGAAGAAGACCAAGAATATAAACCACCAGGAGCCAAGAGGCGCACCTCTCAGGCACAGCCAGCACACCACCCAAGGCAGCACCGCCGACCCACAACCCTCCGCACAACAATGACCCCCGCCACAGCTCCGGGATACCCAACGTCAAGCACCGCCAACCCCAACAGAATGGACTTCAGTATCCCCGACACCCTAGAAGGCCTCCCTCCAGTCAATTCCTCGGGCTACGTCGTCCCCATGAGCCCAGTGCCAGGCCCAGGTGACATCAGCCAAAGCGGATCCCCATATCTCCCCAATCTACCAGGCACATACCCACCTCCAAACACAAACCTAGATGGCACATTCCTCCATCATACAGGCGACAACGCCTTCAACGCACCACCAATCCCATCCTGGAAATTATCCAAAGACTATTCTACAACTGCAGCCCAGGCTCAACCCACAGGACCATCAGGTCTAACTCCCAACCCCATCACTTCCATCAACTCCCCAGACTCCTTCAGCAGCACCGCGAACTCAATCCCCGATTTCTTCCAGAACCCAATGAGCGGCGACTGGGGTCACGGCGGAAATCTCTTCGCTGGACTCTTCCCAACGGAATACAATTTCCTGCCCCCGAATCCAGCAGGCACTCAGTCTGCCGATACATATTCCTCCATGCCGATTCTATCGGCTGAGTCGTATATCCATGGCGCGCCTGCTATTGACAGTCATACGGCTCAGGCAGGTGGGTTTGATCCCCATGGTCTAGGATATGGCTATGTGCCACAGGGTCAGGAGGATCCGAATCAGGGGGCTGATCCGGTCTGGCCTAACGGGTTTTTGGGGTTGTTTTAGGGATAGATTGACTGGGGTCTTATATCTTGGATTTGTTGTTCTTGTTAGCGTTGTCTTTATCCATGGTTTTCCCTAAACATGCCTTCTCTGCTCTCTTCTTTGTATATGTATTAGACCGGATTTACGAATGTTGATGTAACCACATATCGGTGTGGTATAATAGGAAACAAATAATCAACCAGTGGATATGAAAATAAAGACTAGGTATAAAAAAGCGCCCAGCCAGATCCCGAAGTCGAGATATCCCATTGTCCCACGCCATTGAACCCAAGGGCATGCAAAAGATTCCTCCTGCGCCTCCCTTCCCAAATCCAGACCTAACCCATCCCCGTCCAATAACCAAATCATAAAAGAGCAAATATTCGAAAATTAAAACACAGATGCCGTGAACGCGCGCACTGCCTTGCACCACACGCCATCTCCTAGCTGAACATCGCTGTCCTTCCCCCGACGAAGCCCTTTGCCAAGGATGGTTTGCAACTCCTTGTCTGGAAGACCAGACTTGTTGCCTGTTCCGAACCCATAGACCTTCGTCGCCAGGACGTCAATATCAAAGTCTAAGGAACCGACAGTGTTCTCTGCATTTGTTTTGTCAATGCGGGTACGGACAGTGAAGTCAACATCAATTCGCTTGGCACTGGTGTTCTGCGAATCAGCGCCCTTGCGGCCAGGTGTGGAGACAGTGGCATTGCCGAGGAGCGTGCAGCGTGTGCGTAGAGAAAGAGAGCCCTCATCAGGCTTGGATAGGGTGAGGCGGGTGACACCACAGAATTCCAGCATGCGCGCTTCGTTTTCCAGCCCAACTGTGCGGTCCCATGCGCTAGAGATGAAGCGTAAGAGCTGTTTAGGTGCGACAGTGGATTGCTGGATGGTAGTCAGGTGGTGCTGTAGCGAATGGAGGACTAAGGATGCAATGGGAGAGATGTTGGCATTCTTCTGGGAACTCAGTTCCATCGGGTAGTTCTTTCCCTCGTCTTGGCCACCGTTTTTGGAGGCAAAAGCTCCAGGATAGAACTCTAGTTGGAGCTGGTCCCGGTAAGCCATCTTTAATAAAGGCCCCTTCGATGCATCCGAGGGAGTCGAGGCCGAAACGATGGACCAGCCGGTTTGTTGCTGAATTCGTTGGACAGAGGCTAGTTTTTTCAGTCAGTATCGCACCCACAAAAGTCTCCATGGGGGAAGGAGAAAAGATCTCACCCTTCAATTCGTTGATCTCCCGGGCACTCCAGCCACGACACTCTTCCTTCACACGCTCTGCCTCCTGGATTTGAGCCAGGTATTCATCCCGCATTTCGGCTCCAGCCTCGATGAAGGTCGTCTTCTCATGGACTTCCTTCTGCAACTGCTCAAGTTCCCGTCTCTTGGCTGCAATTTCGGAGTCCACCTCAGACAGCTTGCCACGCGTACTGCGCAGCTCATCTTGATCACAGTTCTCCATCTCATCCACTAACTGCTGTAGGTTGGTTGCCTCTTGCTCGAGAGAGGCGTGCTTCTCCACGAGTAAAGGTACACTTCTGTTGAGCAACTCTTCGCGTTCAGATAGCAGATCGTCGTCTGCTTTCATTTCATCCACGTGGCGAATGAGCCCTTCCTTCAGCCCCTCAAGCAACTTCATCCGCCATTCATACCATGTAGCTTTACTCAGCAGACGGGCATGGGTCTTAACGTTTCGGAATTGATTGTCCATGATCACTCGGATATCTGGTGGAGCGGTGACATACTCCTTGAAGAGAGCTGGATTATCGGCATATGTTTCTGCCTCGATAGAGCGGATCACTTGTCGGCCTTCGGAAATATAGGACTTCAACTCCCGACATGACTAGAGACAGTGTGAGCGAAAGCAAGAGTACGCAGGTATAGTAGAACTTACATGCTGGTACAGTTCAAGCATTGGGACTGTACAAAAGCCAGCTGCCACGCAATCATCAAATGTTATGGAGCCTGGTTTAGGCATATTCTCACCAGATGGTCGTGTCAGCTTCTTAGTGGCACTGCCAGGGGCTGTTGTGTGTCGTCTTTTTGTCGTAGTAAGTTCCATAAAATGAATATTGGTCATTTTCAGGAAGTCCTGCAACTGAATAGACTCAATTTCCACAGAGGGTTCTTCGACGGGTGTATTCTCTTCTTCTTCTGGCTGCTGAGGATCAGAAGCAATATGAAGAGCATCAATACCATGTTTGAGAGGAGTTGTCGAGGTATGGGAAGCACTCCGAGGTTGCTGGGAAGGCGTGGTGCTACCCCTCGGAGGCGATGAGCTAGCAGCTCTACGGACGGGCGAAAGCATCGACCGCCGGACATTTCCTTCCTTGAACATCGGTGCCGGTAACTTGACACCTTTGACTGGGCTGACGTTGTGGCCACGCAGTCGCTTGGGCGAATTCTCGACTTCATCTTCATCCAGATCCAGCTCGACTGGGCGCTTGCCCAAAACCCCGCGGGCAGCCCCAACATGGAGACTCTTGCGACTGCCAATCCTAGTCTTCTTCGGGCTCAGATTTGAGATCATGTCCTTCAAGTTTGAGGTTACATCCCGATCTGACTGCGAGCCCGCGATGTGGCCGTCTTCTCGGAGTTCCTCTTCTTCGCGATCCCGTTCTTCTTCGGCCTGCATTTGCAGAGGATCTTCGAAACGTACACCGGACCGGGGCTGCTCTTGCGGAACGAACTGAGGCGTACGATCTCCAAGGGACTGTCGCCTGTCGAGTAAGGCCGCCACTCGAGGAGATCCGAGGCCTTCTTTGTCTATTCCTAGACCAGAAGAGCGACGTCCCTCGCGTGGTTGCAATTTGAAAACCGGGGTCGACTCTCCCGTTGCTATGTTATGCTCGAATAAGCTTTGGCGTAGAGACTTGCGCTTATCTGCTGATTGCTGAAGTTCGGGCTGGAAGAGCTTCTTCGGTGAAGCACTTCTAAAAGTAACATTGCTAGAGGGGGGCGTCTTGCTTGGGGTGGTAGGTTTCGCTTGGGGGTGGACTGTTTGGGCGGAGTCAATGGCTTGGTGTTTGGTGATCGTCGCCGGCTGGCCGACCCAGGCATACCCGACGATCCTGGGGTGGAGCTACGCCGGGAAGGCCTGGCCCGCACGGCTGCCAAACTGGGGCTCCCGTTTTCGGATGCAACAGCAGCAATTTGATAAGCCCGAGGTGATTTAGCAGGGGACTTGGCAGGGGACTTGGCAGGAGACTGCCGAACAAGGTCTTGAAAAGGCGAGCTAGCAAGCTGACCCGAGTCGGTTTCGAGCTCCATTATCATTTTCGCGTGCACTTTGTCATTGGCTTCAATCCCTGACTGTAGGATACCACCAATCGCACCAGTCATCTCCATGTCCATACCACCATCAGACTCATTGTCTTGATCGGAGTTCATGTGATCAGAATTGGAGGCATAAGTAGGCTGATTGCCCAAGATTTTGCCAACGGCCGAAGTGAATTCCATTGTCATTCCTTCGTCCTCGTTGCCAATTTCAGAAAACTTTGAAGGCGAATCCTCCTGCGCAATACCACCTATGACATTGGTCATCTCCATGGTTTGATCGCCGTAGTCAGATTCTTCTGCCATGGACTGGCGACGAGCTGTGCTCTGGCGACGGCCGGGAGACTTGCCAAGAATGCGTCCTACGGCATTCGTCACGTCCATGCTGAGGTCTTCATCCTCGTCGATGTCATCTGATTCTGGCAGACCTTGAGTGCTGGCATGCCTGGATGGGTCGATGTTTTCCTCGTCGTGTCGTGCACTAATATCTCCCCAGTCAAAGCTTTGTCTTTGGCCCTTTTTGATCCAGGGCTGGAAGGCACCGGTTATTTCTTGATCCGCAATTTCCATTGACATCTCTCCGTCCTCATCGAGTTCGGTTCCTGCTTCTTTTGCAGCCTGGCGCAGTGCTTCGTTGAGTCTAGCACTAGAGCTTGAGCTAGAAGTTGCATCTGATTGGACACTGACGCCTGAGCGCGCGGTCATATCATCCATGCTCATTGCAGTGCTCTCGGCATCAAATCCATCGTCGGACCCTGAGGAATCACCATCATCCTCTTCTTCTCCGCCCAAGCTTTGAGCGCCGGTGTCTTCGCTTCCTACCGAGCTTCCGCTGAACGGACTAGAAGATAAATCCCGGATGTCATCATCGCCACTCCCTGATGGTGGGCGACCTCTTATCTGGTTCAGATCTTGTGTGCGGACAGGTGAGAATCCGAATTCGGACTCTGCTGGCGAAGATGGAACATCTTTGGTGGGCGAGGGAGGGGCAGGTTGGTTCTGGGAGTTTGCAGCAGCAGATGCGCGTCTCGTTGAGTTCGCGGCAGAGGAGGAGGTTGAATCATCCGGAATTTCCACCACGTTCCAGGTGTGTAGGGTTGCCTCGGGGGCAAAGGATACTCGGCGATTTGCTGTGTAAATGTGTCAATATTTACTTCTATGATAAAGTTGAACGCACGAACCCATTGATTTCCTCCGCGCCGCTCGTTTCTCTAGGATATTCTGTCGTTCACGATCTTTGCGCTCATGTTCATCGCGCTCCTTGGTAGCAGCCATCTCCTCGCGAATGGCAGAAGTCGCATTGAATGTATCAAACGGGTTCGCCGTGTCGTCATTGTCATTATCTGCCGTGCGAGGTCCTGGTGTTGCTTCGAAGTCAATCAAGAGACCGTCTTTGCCTTGACCCATCTGGCCCTGTGCGTCCATCGTGCCGTCATGAGTCGGTTGTTCACTACGAGCGGGTGTACGTCGGCGCGTTTCCTCGAATGTCGGAATGGTTCGCACTGGAGAGACAGGGACTGTAGGTTTGAGAATAGACTTTAATGGGAAAGAGGCCGTAGACTATAAATATTTGAGTCAGAAATGTTTGCATATGCGCACGTGGTATTCCATTAGTAGCTACCTGGCGACGATTGCCGTTAGAATTCTGGAGGGCATCAAGTCCACCAGGTCCCAGACTCTTGCTCCGAGACTTCTTGTCTTTCATAGCAGGCTTTGTATTATTCAAAAATGGCTGAGCTGCGCCAATTTCAGTTGTCGCATTCTCCTTGTCCAAACCAGACGTCATCCTAGACCGCGGGACATGCGCGATGGACCGACGAGTTCGTGGCGGTCGCAAAGCCGCGGAGTCGGGTCGAGTGGACATTGTCGGCGATTGAATCGGCACATTCACAGATCAATTCAAGATTGCATATTCCATAAATCCGAACGTTGAGATCTCCAGATCAATCAGGACTGAGCCTGTAATCTGCTCCTATCGCACCTGCCCAAAGCGCGTTGCCTCCGCAATCACGTGATGTAAACAAAAGCGCAGAGCCCTAACCCCAATTAGCCTAGTCCCGATCGGGACTAGTGTCGCACACTACGAATTACCAAAGATTCCGACGGGCAACGAATCTTCCTCATCTTCGACAGCCGCCAACCCGACCTTTCTTCGACACCGCTTCCTCGTCGAACAACACCGCAAAAATGGCCACCGAGTTGACCGTCCAGTCGGAGCGCGCTTTCCAGAAGCAGCCTCACATCTTCCTTAACACCAAGGCCAAGGCTTCGTCCAAGAAGACTGCCCAGGGCCGCCGCTGGTACAAGGAGGTCGGTCTCGGTTTCCGTACCCCCAAGACCGCCATTGAGGGAACCTACATCGGTATGCACGACCTTCGTTGAGATTTTATTCGAAATATGGTGGCGGAATATATGGGTGGGTGGTCTTTTCACGGATACAAAGGGCGAATGGAGGATCGCATGGAGCAATTGAGGGTCCTGGGATCTCCGTCGTTTCTCTCGCCAATATTCGCATTCAACACTCGAACTTTTGAACCTCGAAAAGACCACTCATGCCGAAAAAAATACCCGCATTCACCATTTTTGTCAGATCAGATTACTTATTTTTGAACCTTTACAGACAAGAAGTGCCCCTTCACTTCCCAGGTCTCCATCCGCGGCCGTGTCCTCGTCGGCAAAGTCGGTGAGTTGAATCAGAACTGTCTTTCTATAAGACAAGGAGATTTACTAACGAATTAACTACAGTCTCCACCAAGATGCACCGTACCCTCGTCATCCGCCGCGAATACCTGCACTACGTTCCCAAGTACAACCGTTACGAGCGTCGCCACAAGAACCTGTCTGCCCACGTCTCCCCCGCTTTCCGTGTTGAGGAGGGTGACATGGTTACCGTCGGCCAGTGCCGTCCTCTCTCCAAGACTGTACGTCCATCTGTGATCCTTGTCAATTTTTCGCCACTTTTGGTAGTCTGCGAAACCACGCACTATTGCACTACTACCGCATATCAAATTTGGCAGTTCATTGTTTTGCTACGAACTTGATAACTGACTCAAAGTTTCTCTATAGGTTCGCTTCAACGTGTTGAAGGTTCACGCCAAGACCTCCCGCGCTGTCAAGTCTTTCTCCAAGTTCTAGGTTAATCAACCGGGTGTTTTGAAGGCGAAGGAAGCGGTATGGACTGGATATACGGGAAGTTCTTGGATGGGGGTCGGGATAGTTTATGAGTTTCCATGTCCCAGATACCTCGCTGATGAATGTGTATCCACGCAAAAATCAAAATGATTTGTTCGGCCCTCCTGCGATGGAAACTGTACAACAACTCTGGTACAAGGCAAGATTGACCGTGGATGGCAATCTGGACAGAGCAGCCTCTCAATGCGCATCTCGAGTTCATCTCCTGCTCTTCTAAGTCTTAACAGTGATACAGTAGGACCCTAGTATGTGTTCTCTATGGTAATGGCAAATCATATATTCAATGGTTGCCGTTTGGCTGTCTGTAGGCATGGTTTTATCTCATTTCGGGCGTTTATTGGCTATCTTACCTATGTAGGTAGCCCTGGAGAGTTGGCTTGCATAACACACACCTCCTTGTCTAGGAAGTTGGAATCCTGAATGTGCCCTCTTTTGTTTGTTTCATTCGAGTATGCATATAGTATGTGGCACCTGGGGTGCCTACAAATGTTAGAGATGCAATGTTTACTGTCATTACATAGATTGCCAGGAAGTCATCTATGTTGATAACAAAATAACGAAGATCGCTAGAAAGACTACTCAAAAAGACTTCACAAGGCCGCATACGTGGCCGTGTCCTCTTGTTTTCATTCCATTAATAATACAGGCATATTGACATATTCATGCTGAATTGGGCGTTCTTGTCTTCACATAGCTGCGCCAACCGAAGATTGATCATTCTCAATTGCCGCGCCAAGACCAGCGTCGGACCTTCTCAAAGAAGTCCATATCAACTTGACCATTGAGTACAAAATGATGGGGGGTCTTTTTGTCCGATTGCGGCAGACGACTCTTTGTAGGTGTATTTGGATGCATGTGTGGATCGTCATCCGACGGCCAGCTTTGCTGCAATGCATGCTGAGAACTGCTATCTTCATTATCAGAGGTGAGATCAATCACCTCTTGATGGTATACCCGGTTGGAGGGGTCTTCGCCGCCATATCCCTCATGAAAGATTCCACTAGACAACGTCTCATGTGTTGAGAACTTTTCATCATCTGCGGTCTCCGTCTTGTCGCTCATAGAGATATCTTGAGACTCGGCCAGTTCTTCCAACTCAGATGTGCTTCCCGACTCTTCGTCGGTATCAGGTAACTCGTAGTCTGCATCAGAGACCCGGTCAGATGAGAGATACATATTTTGGGGGGTCTGCCGAGGCGTCTTTTGGGGCGTGAGCCATGCAGCCTCACTTTCGGAATCTGACAATTCCTCAGGCAGATATGGTGGTGCTGTTCGAACTCCGTTCTGGAAAAGATCGATCTCTCTCTTTTGTCTCCAGCCCCATGCCTTGGCAAATTCATACGCCAAGTTCTCCCAGTAGGTCGCTGGCACTTGGAGAAGAGTCAGTAACTTTCCAAGCGTTCGACCAGATTGGAAAGTCGACTTTCTTTTCAGTGCCAGCATCTCACGCAGCTTATCATTGCAACGTGGGGCGTTGCTAATGAGTGGAAGCTGGAGCAAGCGATTGATATCCGGGTGGGACTGTGCGATTTGCTGGAGACTGCTAATCTCCACAGTGTAAGCAATTGCTTCCGTTGGGATAGTACCCCATATGAGGTACTCCCCATACCCTTTCCAGCCACCGATTACTAAAGTCCTCGTCCGAATTGCCAGCGGACAAGCGTAGAATACTTTAGTCTTCAGCTTCGACGTGTCGATAACGGTCAATAACGCGCCGTTTTGGCCGGCAATCGCACGGTGCAAAGGCGCCAATGGAGCCTGAAATGTGGAGATAAAGGGTGTGCTGACCTTCTCCTTGGTTACATGACTCCGAAAGAAGCTTTCAAATCGGCTCTCGGGAATATTTTCCGGGTCGAACCACTCAGAATCACGAAAAGCTCCCGCCAGAAAGCGTGCCTTTGAGTTGACTCCTTGGGAGTCACGGTTTGACCAGCGAAAGAGTAACGGTGGCATTTTATCATGAGCAACTCCTTGCATGGCCAGATCATGGTCATGGTGGTGGCCTTTTCCGTGGGGTTGATTTTGGCCTTGGTCATGATGCTGCTCACTGGAATATTGGCGTTCTTGAAGCTCATGGGGCTCTGAGAGTTCTGGGGTTTCTTCATATTCTTGGTGTTCTTGATTTTGAGCTCCCACGGTGCTCTGGTCAATGAGACCATCCACCTCGTCAATGGTCAGCCCATAGCTACACCAGAGACAATTCTTCCCATGGCTGGTGACAACCGGCGAGTCGGTTGTCAGGTGGTCGACCAGTTCTTGGCTGTGGCCGACGCTCATCGTGGCGCTCTCGCTGTTTTGGTCCTCACTTTCGGCAAAATAACGACTCCTTTTCTCTTCTCGCTGGCGCAGTGGTAACGGCATTCGGTGGGGTGCCTCGGGAGGGGACTCAGCTCTCGGTCCTAAGGCCATTGTCACTCGCATCCCACATTGAGTTGTGTCAATGTCATCTTCTGTCTTCTCGAGAAGAGGAAGACGCAAAGTGACTGCCGTAGATTGGATTCTCTGAATAATTTGCTTCCATCTCCCGTCCATGCTGAACTCAGTGTCTCGATGAACATCAGACCAGACAAGGTCGCCAGTGTTTCTCATCCAGCTCCACTGTGCGTGGAGTGTTCTATCTGGAATAAACCGATTGATCCCACGTTTTCTCAGATTGTCTCGGAACATCGAGAAGAAGATCTCTTCTTTTGCTTTCTTGTCACATCGGAAGAAGCGGTAGATGCAACAAAGTGCTTGGCGCATTGGGGTGTCCCATCGAAGTTTTGGCTTTTTAGGAGGGTTTTGGTTCTCCATTTTCAATGAATGAGAAGGGCAAGTGACAATGTCTCAAAGGAGTGTAAGAGGCAAAATATTTGAAGGAAGAAAGGTTATTTGGGATGGCCGAGGAACTTGGTGATGTAGAAGATGAGGGCTGGAAGTGATTGAAGAAGGATGAGAGACACAAGGGTATGAAGAAGGTAAAGTAAGAGTTGAAGCAAACGAGAAAGAAGTGGTGGCCTTGAGACCCGGATTTGGAAGAGAAAGGAGAAAGGTCTCTAGCTCATCCCTCGAATATTATGGGAATATCTTCGGTCCCATGTATGCGACTATACCTTCTTTCAAGGAGCTAAGAAAGAATGGGGCTGATTTACTCTATTTAGCGCAGAGAGGAATCTGATCTTAATACATATCTCTTTTCGAAACTTCCTCTCATATTGGGATAAAGTGGAAGTTGAAGCTCTCACTATTCTAGGTACGCATTTCGCCTCGGAGAGATGAGACAAATGAGTACAAGATATTCGCTTTTCGGCTAAAGGGGTAAGTACCCAAGTACATAAGCTATCAATATAATGAGTATGCCTGAGAATCAGAATTGCATAGATCTTTGTTGTAACTTAGGACGACATAGCTTACTATCAGAATAACCCGCAAGTGGAGTATATATATACATCTAGATCTACCTAGACCTCGAAACACCAATCTTTTAATTGCCTAGTTGGCCTATAGTGTGGAAAGTGTGTCTTTTTATTTCCATTCCCATCCAATTAAACTCTTTGAAAAAAGAACAAAACGACGAAATGTTGCTTTGTCGTGTTTCCCTTGCAAATGTAACGCAGGTTCCCTCTTTACTATGACCACAACCCGGCTTACTTCTGGCCACTGGATATCTACATTGTAATTTATTGGCAAATACAGTCTAGCTACTAGGTAGGTAAGGTTGCGATCTTCAAAATATAAATACTATGCCCCAATCAAAAGAGAGGAAGTCTTGCTGGTATACCTAGATGTATAGAAACAAGGTTACCAGATCAAGTTATTAATCCCAAATAACTGATATATTCAAGACATTTCTATCTATAATCTATACAGCCCATAATTTTTCATATATAATAGATCCAAGTTCGATATAATATCCTACAAATATGTATACTCCGTACTACCCCGTGCACACGCGGAACTGCCAACATGCGCTAGTCCCAATTTGGGTTGCCTCTAGGAACACTCCGCCCCAGAGTAACTCCCTTTGCCTCTTGAGACTATTGCTCTTTGCTATCCTTATCCCCTCCATTTGCTTCGCAGCCCATATTACCACTGTGATTTTCAATTTTCGCCAATCCCTAACCCGACAATTCCGATCGGACTTTGAACCCCTCAGAAAACTGCCCACTTTCCCCAGGCTTACAACATGGCTCAATGAGCCACGTCATGAGCGATACGGATGATTGAAGATTTTCTCGGACACTACAAGGGCATTGATTCTTGGAGCAGGCTCTCCAGTCTTTTCTCGCTGTCTTTTGACAGATTCGTATTCTGAGCCATTGAGAAGTTGGGCACCGATTCGCGACTTAGAAACATGCCTGGAGGATTTGAGAAGTCAGTAAAAGGGGCCACAAAGCTCAAGGTCAGTCTGAAAGGCTAAGCTCATTTATTCATCCATGCGACACTTATTAACTATTTGGCATGGACAGCTTGCGGCCCCTAAATCCAAATACATAGAGAATATTCTCGTGGCAACTCATACCGGCGAGGCAGGAGTCGCAGAGGTATTCCGAACCCTACAGATACGACTCAGAGACTCGGCATGGACCATTGTTTTCAAGGCGCTCATCGTCCTACATCTCATGATCCGAGAGGGTCAACTGGATGCTGCGCTGGGATACTTGTCCGATAATCCAAAGAAAATCGCGCCCAGCAATTTCTCTGAAGGTTAGACCAATAGTTATCCTATAGGGATGCGAGCGCAACTTATTAATGGTTTTTGCAGCCCAATCGCAGGGACATAATATCCGACGATATGCCGAATACCTTATCACGCGTGCCAAGGCGTTCGATGCCTGCAAGACGGATCATGTACGAAGCGGACCGGGACGGCTGAAGAGAATAGGCGTGGACAAAGGTCTGCTGAGGGAGACTGAAATTGTACAGAAGCAAATTCGTGCGTTACTGCGGTGTGATGTGGGTGAATTCCGAATTTGGGTCTTCTTCTTTGTGACTGACATTGTATAGCTATTGACGGATGAGCCCGAGAATGAGATCAGTTTGACCGCGTTCCGTCTTCTCACACTTGATCTATTGACTCTATATTCAGTCATGAATGAGGGCACGATCAATGTTTTGGGTAAGTCAGCAGCCCCTCCACAGGTCGGCATTGGTCTAACCTTGAACCCCAATAGAACACTACTTTGAGATGTCGCGGCCGGATAGTGTACGTGCCCTGGCAATCTACAAGACGTTCACAAAACAAACGGAAGAAGTGGTTCAGTTCTTGGGAGTGGCAAGACATTTCCAGTCTGCCACCCGCCTGGAAATCCCGAAGCTTAAGCATGCCTCCACAGACTTGGCGCGCCTTCTTGAGGATGATCTCAACGATCCTGATTTCGACCTTCGCCGACGGGAGTACATGGTCAAGAAAGGTGTACGCGTTCCACCGAGCATGGAAGCCAGTGCGACTGCAGATGTATCAAAGCCAATGCCGAACCCACCGATGTCGAACCCGGCGTCAAACCCACCCAAGCAGGCTGAACAACCGAAGCCACCCCCTGTGGATCTGATCGACTTCTTTGATTCAATTGAGCAGAATCAACAGCCAATGGGGCAACAGAACTCAATGCAGTACCAGCAAACAGGGTTCCAGCAGCAACCGCAGCAATCATTCTACCCCCAGCAGACTGGCTTCCAGCAGCAACCCCAGGCGATTCAGCAGCAGCCTTTGGAAACTGGATATGGCCAGCCAACCCAATATGGAGCTCCTTATCAAGCACAGGGCCCAAACAATCCATTTGGGCAGCAGCAACAATCACAACCACAACCACAACCGCCGCAGCCACTTCAAGCCATGCCAACTGGCGCTGGATTTGGAGGGTACTCCCCCAGCCGCAGCAGTATGGGTTCCAATCGCAACTGGCTCCTATTCCTCAGCAAGGCATTGCCTCATTCCCTCAACAACAGCAAGCACCTCAGGCATTGCAGCCCTTGCAACCCCAGCACACCAATCCGTTCCGCCAGTCAATGATGCTCAACTCTTCCACCGGCGCTCAGCCACCCGCCGCTCCTCTATCGCGACAGAACACGAACCCATTCGCGAGACGACTCTCCACCGCAACCCCGCAATATACTCCCCCAAACGAGCAATTCCAGCCTGCGCAGTCCCCACAAGTGCAGCAGCTTCCGCCACAAGTGCAGCCGATCCAGCCTCAGCGGACGGGAACCAATCCTTTTGCGCGGGCCTCTCCTGCTCCACAGCAAGCTCTACAGCCCCCAGCCGCTGCTCCCTTGCGGCCTAACCCAACTGGCAGCACCAACCCTTTCCGACAGAGCCAGTTTATCAACCAGCAGACTGGGCAGGGTTGGCAAAACAGTGGGCAGAGTGGTACAATGGGTGGATTAGAACAGCTGGACACGGTGCCGATCTTCCCGCGCCCCGGCATGACCTAAAGCCCACCATTTGCATGGCCTCGGAATGAAACCGACGCCCGTTAGATTATCTTCTCTTAACTATCTCATTTCTATCTCACTTGTTCCCCACAACATCCACCTTGAGTAGACGGATGTTTCCGTGTACTCTGATATTACCTACTTTGTACATCGTACGTTGTATACTGTAGAACTCGAATTATGTATCTAATTATCTTGCCTTGGATCTAATACGGTAATCCAATCAATAATTTTGGTCAAGAGGTTGCAAACGGTCCACATGCGATAGTTGTGAATACTTAGTCGTACAGTCTCGGGGCTCTATGTCTCTAACAGGTTCCAGGCTAGTGCTGACAGGGGGCGGAAAATCTTGATTTGACATCTAGAGCCGTTAGAGATATTTAATGACCAGGGGCCAGAATGCAGATCATTTAGTATATCGAGTTATGCACCTTCCTTTGTGGAGCGTTTCAAAGCTTTTGCGATGATCTTTGTAGATCACGACGATATCTCTATACACATGTTTTTGTTTCCAACGCCACATGACCTCAGAAAGAATAAAGCTCGGTGAATAACCCCATATTTTTCAAGGTCAAGTGGATCAGGGGATTTATGTGGACTTATGGACTGATGAGATAAAAAAAAAGGGGGGGGAGAGATTGTTATGATTCTGACTAAAAGGAAAAAAAAGAATGCATCTCTAAATCCTCTCCTTTCCCCCCTTTCCACAAGTTCTAGAGCTCTTAGCGGGGGAAGAATATATTTCTACCCCGCCGGAAGTTTGTCCTCTTCTAAACCTCCATATCGTCTAAGATGAACGCCAAGGACTTACCGGGTTACGAGCAGACCTTGCCCGTGTTGTCTCGGCCACCGGCTGCTTGGGCCGATCCGATCCACTCACCCTACGCTGCCACCCACTTGGATCCCATACAGTCCGTGACCTCACAGACTTCAGCTCCTCCCCTTCCAGCTCCGGCTCTTCCAACTCCTTCAGCCAGTCGCAAAACGACCAGGGTACGCAAAACCCGTAAAAGCACCAATGTATCTGCGGGGAAATCCACGTTGTTCTGGGTCAACAGTGATCAGCAAACTGCAGCGGCAGGCACAACGGATGAGACCCTGAAGCGGATTCGATCCCATGTTATGTCCGAGCATAATCGCAAGAAGCGAATGGAGAGCACAGAACAGTACAATAAGAGCAAATGGAAGCACGCGCCTTATCAGCCACCGACGACGAATGCCGGGGCACTCGTACCCACTGTGCCTGTCCGTCCGTCTATCAGCTCGTCCGCCAGCTTGTCCGGCAGTCAAATCTCAGATGAACAAGAGCTAGAACAGGCCGAGGAGCTTGTTACATCAACAGCTGTGGGATACCCTGCTACGCACGCTGCAACATGGGATGACTGTGACTTTGGTGGGACGATGGCCTACCCCGCTGGAGCGTCTGCATGGTCTTACGTGGGACAAGGAGCTAATGATCCTTTTCATACTGGACATACGCAGCTTACAGATAGAATGATGCGGCACCTGCGAGTCTGTGAGTGTTCCTTAGGCCCTGACACAGTTGAGCTTGCATACTGACACGGGTATAGTCCTTTGGGATCTGACACAAGAAGCACACCCCTTGCAAACGCGATACAAGCCCAAACTGCAGGCACATTGGGCATCCTTGATTCAGCAGGATCCGGCCATTCTGCATGCAACAATTTGTATGGCTACTTCCAATGATGCTATGCGTGCAGGCGAGCTACCCATCCGAGATCCAAATCAAAAGCGGAGTCAGTTGGTGATCGACACGTTCCACCATCGGGGCGAGACTATTCGATTGGTCAACGAGGGCCTGTCAGACCCGGTCAAGGCTTCCAGTGATGTTTTGATTGCTGCGGTTTCTACATTATTGACAATCGAAGTGAGTAGATTCTGCGAATCAGGCCTATGATTCCCAAAGCTAATACATGATTGTAGATCGCGTCGGGGAATCCCGATTATCTCAAAATCCATCTGGCAGGTTTGCGACAGATGATCGCATTGCGAAAGAACTTTGACGATGTTCCTTCAGACGTCCGGTTCCAGATCTCCTGGTTGGTATACCCCTTCACAATCAGATACATAGCTTGCTAACTTTGCAATTAGGACTGATATCCGAGTTGCTTGTATGGCCCACGCCAAACCTATATTCCCCTTCATCCGCTACACCCGCCCAGCGCGGTTCTCTCTCATCCCACCCAATGACGACGTAGCATTACTCTCCACCCGCCTCTTCCCTCTACTCAAAATACCCGGCATCTTCGGCGAAGCCATGCCGCAAATCGTATATGATCTCCTCGAACTATCCTGGTATGCAGAATGGATCAAAGGCAACACCGGGTACAAAGAGTTCAACGAGGAGACCGAGGACTACTTCAACACGGAAGTGCTGCACGTAGAATATCAACTGCACATGGATCGATACACAGCAACAGGCCAGGCTAAGGGCGACAACTCCATCGAGGGCTGCACCCGTCTCGCTTTACTGCTGTTCCACAACAGCGCCATCTGGAATTTCTATCCAATGATCGGCCAGTTGCTACCCAAGCCGATCCAGGCTCTGCGCATTGCCCTCGAGGCGACTATCCCCTCGGGCTTATTCGCGCTCTGTCGCGACCTACTCCTCTGGCAGCTTTTCATGGGCGCGGCTTGCAGTCTAACCCTGCCGTCAGAGCGGGCCTTCTTTGTATCTGAACTGGCCAATGCTGCGCGGTTGCAGGGACTCCGCTCGTGGCAGGAGGCCCGTGCTATCTTGCTGGGCTTTTTCTATGTCGATCGCATTCACCTGCCTATGCTTCGTCAGATTTGGGATGAATGTCATATGCAGGTAGAACGCCCGGCAGTATGATCTTGGCTACTTGGCTCTGCCGTAATAGATCCAGCTTCTTCAAAGTTGGTTATATACAACCACTTTCTAGTATATTCCCAGGCTTTGGACTTGCCATCTTGCTATCTAGCCCAGTGAAGATATAATGTACACATAGTTTTCAATGATTGACGATTCCTCGTCCCCAAAACAGCTACATCCTATCTACCTAAATGAGTATTTGGAACTAAATCCACTTATTATGTGCACTGCATTGCTACCCAATTGCTAGACAAGAAGTACAATATACTAACTAGCCCAACCTCAAACAGCCAAGATACCAAGCCCCCCTGACAAGAACGCAAGTCAAGCCCATCCCGTTCAAACCCGACACATACTTCACCTATTCTCGGCATCCACCGCCCATCATTCCACAAAGATAAGCACGGCATGCCGATATCCGAACAATCTCCGTCCGTCCCTACGCGCAACGAAGCTGATACGCCGTAGAAGCCCACCGCCGAGCGCGCACCGACTTTCAGCCGGGAAATTATCGGCCTTCGCTCGGCATTGCGCGTTTTTTGATAGAAGCTGCAGCTCTGCTTCCTAGCCTGCTTGGCTTATTCGGCTTCCTGGTTTTTTTCCTCGGTCTCATTTCAATTCTCTTCATTTTTCTCATTGCTGAACTGGAAATACACATACTTTCTACGAAAAGGAAGTATCTCTAAAAATGTTATGAATATCTACACCGTATGTATGTTTTAGAATCCAACTTCTTGGCTTGTCATCCTGTTTATGCAGGTCTTAGACCACTTGGGCACCTGCAGACCGAGAAAAGACCGGCATGAGATCAGACACCCAACTCCACTCTCGGGTGTCTTGATCCCGGACTCGGAGGGCTACGTAGTCAGTGGTCTAGGTATAATAGACCCTGCTGTTCTAAGAAAAAGACTCATTTCAGGATATATACATACTTCCATATCCCCCTTCCTTCTTCTCTCTACTGAAACAAAACATTTTTGCAAACATAATACATTCTGACTTCGTTCTTCAACCCTTTTTCTTCGCTTTATATCACTTCAATCACATACCAGGCTATCTATGTCGTGTCGGTCTTCAAACTGCCCGAGGTCAGAGGACTTGACTACATAGTCATGGATATGCTTGGATGATGACGGATATTGACAGTGCACCTGGGCAGAGATACTGCTTACCACGTGATGGATGCATTGCATCTTTGGCTCGAATAGCGCTCAGCTCGCAACGATGACCTGATTGACTCACATGCATGGCTACACAAGATGACTGGGTTGGATTTACAATGCTTCAGGCCTCGGGTCAACACCGACAGTCCTGCAACACACCCCGAACAAGAGCAAGAACACCTGGACATCGACCCGACTCCCAAGCCCGACAGTCTACAAGATGAAGCAAGAAAAGGCCGAAGGAACACATTATGAAGAATGTTGGATGAATTAATTACTTTGAGTCCCAGAGACTCGCAGGTAAAAGAGACTAAATACAACAAGAAAAAACCAGAGAGCACAAGAAATCACCCGAGTGCTCCCGAAAAAATTACAACCAGCGAACAAAGGGGTGATAACTGGCGAATATTTTTGCAACTGCGCCGAACATGATGTTCCGTATTGATCATCCATGCACACAGCAACAGTCACAGGCGAACAGACGGACCTCCGAACGACAACACAATCGACGACGAGCAAACGTGTCGATGAGCGCAAAGCGAACAGGAACGGTCTATCTGCAGCCTATACATACAACACTGGGTATCGAAAATATTACAAGCACCAAACGGGCACTCCGCATCCCGGTCTCTTTTCTAATAAGAAAAGGAACAATTCGCTTATGCGAGCTCACGCTCGGTCTTACCACGGCGGACACGGCCAGTGGGGGACCAGGGGAAGTGAGCGACGGGGATGATGAAGAAGCTGTTGCTAGTATCGGCAATACCAGCGAGGGCATTGTACCAGGCGGCGAAAGCAGCCAGGAAACCGAAGAAACCACCGGCTTTCTGAATGGGGACGTTGGGGTGGCCATCCTCACCGCGGTGCAGGTAGCAGATACCAAGCAGGAGGAAGGTCAGGTCCAGGGTGAAGAACAGCAGGAAGAAAGCGACGGTGGACTTGAGGGTGCAGAACAGCATGATGGTGGTGAAGATGAACCAACCCTGTTACGACATGGTCAGCGGGGATGATCTCTTGCAAGTGTGTAAAGAGAAAGGGAGGCAGGAACTTACCATCAGGAAAAGACCCATGGAGTCATAGAATTTGGGGCCTGCACCACCGAGCGCACTCTCGATTTGGAACCCACCGGGGGTCAAGATCATAGCGAAGGCGATCCAGAAACCACCGTAGGAGGAGAGAGCAGTAGCACCGAAAGTGTTACCAACAGCCATTTCCCTAGAAAAAAGCGCGTATTAGCCGCGGAACGTGGCTGTGAAACCCACGGGCTCGGAAATTACGGTTACATACCACATGCCGGAGAGAAGCTGGACGAGACCACCGTAACCAAAAGCAAGGCCGACGACAATGTTGGGGCTGCCGATATCCAGGGTACCCATGTTGACGGCGCTCAGGACGAAAGTGGTGAGGGCGAAAGCGCACAGGCCGAGAGGAGCGGGATTGGCGAACTTGCGGCCCTCGACGGACTTGTACAGACCGGGCTGGAACTCACCACCGAAGGGAGGTAGGGATGCCTCCATGGTGTTGACGTGGGCGAGGGGTCCGTAGCCGAAGCGCGCGGCGGCGCGTGCTACCTGGTGCTCTTCGGCGGACATCTGGGGCTGCATTGGGGCGCCGCCGTTCAGGCCGTTTGAGCCATTCTGGGGAGAGTGAGAAGGGCCCACGTCCTTCTCCAGCTCTTGCTGGTGGGTTGCTTCAGTCGCAGACATGATGCAAGATTTCGTAACTAATGGTCGTTAAAAAAAAGATGATGTGTAAAAAAGACAAAAAGAAGTATAGAAGGCCGTATAACACAGTTATAGGTATGGGAAAGGATGCAAATCAAGCACGACTGAGAGAAGAAGGAAAGTATTATACCCTTGAGCCCCGAAGGGCACAAAGGCGCTTTCCTTGGAAAAATGGAGAAAAAGAAGTGTGGAACCAAACTTACTTGGTATTTGGTTTTCGGTTATATTACATATAAAACAAATGATGTGCAGCCGCAAGGACCCGTTCCCACTATGGAGAAGTTAAATAAGTAATATAAAGTGGAGAGAAAACGAAGAAGAAAAAGAGATGTTGGGGGAATGCTCATAATTATACGTAAATATAGCCTTGAACATGTTTAGATTTGTTTTTTTTTTTTTTTTTTAATTTGCTGTTTCACAGGGATCAGAAAGTTATTTCATCTAGAATAATGTCAAACTAGCCATGCAGGGACGGCACGGAGGAATGGGGGATGACGAGGACCGTTCACTGGCCTACCTAGGTAATTGACAGGCAAGGATGAAAGGAAGGGACACGGGGAAAGTGGAGAGACTGAAAGGATCCGGGGAGCAATATGATTGGTAGAAAGAGAACTCATTCTTTGATTTCTCAACATCGAAGCTGACTTGTTTGACTGCATAATTCCATACTATTATGCTCTGCTATGTCAAAACATACTATGTCCTATGCAAAAAGAAATTCATGTAGCCCATACAATTTTACATATTATAGGCTTATAAGGACCGGGGCCCCAGACTGCTTCAATCTATGGATCTTCTTGGTCTGTCCCATGGACAGCTGTACATAGCCCATACGGAAATTTAGAGTCTGGAGTTTAGGGCTCATTAAGATTTTTATGATCTTCGAGAGTCCACTTTCTCTCTACAGATTATTGAACTACGGAGTACTTCGTACATCGTGCATAGATGTACAGTACATTAGTGCAAGACGGAGATGGAAGTACAAGATACTTATTGAGGCCAGCTTGTCCGGGGGTAAATCCCGGTACCGAGTACCCAACCGAGACTGCGTCACCTCGGTCCCATTATGGAAGGCATTTTGCCTCTCTTTTCTAACATACCAATTGTTACCCTGGGGCCCATGTAACAGATTATGAAATGAATCTTATTCAACAGAATGAGAAAAAAAAAGTACTGTACATAAGGTTGTAGACTTTTTAGGCTGATATGTTCGGATAGAATTACGCACCAATGAATTCATGAAAACAATTTTCTATGCATATTCAGTACCAGAGTCCGAATGTATTATTAATATTTCCTTTTTCTCTATAATCCATTTCCCCCACATAGTGCGTCCACCATTTGCCCCTTTTTTCAGACATATGCACCACTAACAAAGCACCTAACACAAACCAGACCCGCTAGTCACGGATGGTATACCAGAAACCGCATAAAGCCCGAGTCAAAGATGCATACGTTTCAAGTCTCGGGGAAACGGGACGATGTACCCAAGGTAGAAAAACGGTGCATTGTGAACCCTGGTTAGTTTGATGCACGTTGTCTTAGCCGTGTTCTCTCGAATGGGCCATCAGTCTGGGGGGGAACCTAGATCGGCGCACGAGGCTCGGACCCATTTGTCCTTTTCCTTTTCTGTTTTTTTTCTTTCTCTCGCCCGTGTGATCTAGAAGCTAGAGATGCAAGCCCGTCAAGCTTCATCTCCACATGTAGCTCTGCAATAGGATTCACAGCTGAATGTTGAAAGATATAGTGGACCCGTGGACGTTTGTGGACGTCTGTGGACGTCTCAGTTCCAGTCATATTTGTCTCTCCGTACGGAGCTCCGTTGTCTTAAGATTCGGTCCGGATCAGAGATTTTCCCATTCAAGTTTAGACTATATATCAAGTTTAGACTATATATATAATCTAGGGCTTTGTATTCTCCTTTTTTTTTTTTCAGGTCCTGTTGCTTGATGTCGTGGCGGGTAGCGTTGCAGAGTGACCAAGTTTTTGGTACCTCGGAAATAATACTCCGTATGCAAGATCTCTTTAACGGTACTTATATATACAGTGCAAAATAATAATTTAGGTCCCACCCATACAGTGCAATCCTCCCGCTTGTTAAGCACTCGGTGTGGCTTTGATGAGCTGCAATTGGTCCATTCTACGTTATAGCCCTCAATGGAAAGAATTTGTCTGTGTAAGCATCCACCAAAAATACCTGGGCAATAGCTTGGATTTGTGGCGTGCGCCAAGTAACAATAATAAACAACACACACGCCACAGGTTCACTTAACTTGAGATTAGGGTGTTACACATGTAAATCTTCTTGGTCAAGTGGCCCTTTAACTTCCCCCTTCAAGAGTTTATCTTTATTTGGGATGTCAATTTAGCCTGTTTATGAGAGAGACATGGATATATGGGAAAACCAATCTAACAGAAACATGAATTATCGTTCTGTTCTTTCTTATAATTTTTGATGTTCTCTTACGATCCAGACCTGATCCGAGCGCAAAATCTGTTCTATGGCACCATACGGACATATACAGTGAGCGCACCCGTGACATTTCACATCTTATATTCTTGGCTAATAATCTCGCCTAATCTTTTTCCCATGCATCAATAATTGCTAGCCACATGTAGGTACATACCCGTGGACCAATTACCAGATCAGGTTCGCTGAACTCGAACGGATACATACATGTACACACATATGCACCTTCCGGTACTCCGTACTCCGTACTGGAAATCTTCCACACTCTACGGAGTAGATTAAAGATTCTTGGCGTTGCTCCCTGCTTAATACGGCAAAGTGATGCGGGGATTCTTAGAAACGTCCAAACTTTCAATATATTGCGGGATATCCCCGGAAGTCTGAACATATGATTTCGGTGATTATTACACTTGGCGAATTGGTATTTCTCCCCACATTGCTCATCTGATCGTGATCCCCGCAAAACTACCCCAATACATATATAATCCACGGTTCTACTTATGTTTTGTTCTCAGCTGAGATTTTCGGCTCGGCGGAGCGGAACTCTCTCTCTTCGGCTGCCAAGTCGGATAAGCCCACGTTTTAGTAAAACCGAATGCGGTATTGTGGGGGAATTTTACCTAAGTTTTTGGCTTAACGAGTGCTTACAATTCTTCGGCAGTTTAGTATGCGGCGATTTTCTGCTGAGACTTGATAGGTTCCTGTCCCCAGATTAGAGAGGATCTGAGTATTGAATTCATTTGATTGTTTGCATTAGCAGTTCTCTATCATTTTCGTTTACGGACGTGCTACGTCTTCCGTGGTCTTTGATATTTATATCAACTTGAACACGGCTGTGCTGCTAGACCGAAGCAAGGCCAAAAATGGAAGACCCAGCACAACTGCAAGGCTTCAGGACCGTTATTATCGATATAGAAACCGATGAAAATCCGACACAATCACGATGGAATACATAGACAGGTCTTCATTGAGTAGGTAAATCGATGGCTTTTTACGCTTGGTTGTAAAACCACCGAAAGAGTTTGGCTATGAATAACTCGCCCCGGGGCCAACTAAATCGCTTATGTCATCGTTTCCTCCGGGCAGAAACGTCACTTGTCCTTCAGAAACCAAAAATGGCATAAATTCACTTCTGTCAAAAAAGAGGAATGCACCCTACATATAACTGCTATGTAAATGCAATGAACGTCAGATATTGAAAGAGCAAGAACTGTATATTATGTAGGATGGCGCCTTCCTCTTTTGGCTGCCGCTACATCCCTACCTACCTAGGTAGGACCCTGCATTGTATATATATGTACTAAGCTAACCCAGATTAACCAAAGAACGAAAATCTAGTAACTATCGACCATCGGCACAAATTCAACCGAATTTATGAAGATCATGCTCAAGCACCGGATTATACATATATGCTAGGTTATATTCCAAGTCTAGCTTTATATACATTCAATGATCTATACAAATATCGCTATGCAATCATGACATCAAAATCAATACCAAATCAAGCTGCAGCCTCAATGGTCTTCTGGAACTCAGCACTGAACTCATAGTCCGTGTATCCCTTAGGGTCCTTGGGAACATAGAAAGTGTCCCGATCATAAGGCACGAAGGGAATACCCTTCTGAATACGGAACGGCAAGTCAGGGTTCGAAATAAACGGACGTCCAATGCCAATGATAGCATCATAGTCCGCATACTTGACATCAGCCGCCTGAGCCGCCGAATCAGCCTTGTACCCACCAGCAATGATGATAGGCGAAGCCTTTCCATAAGCCCGCAGGAAGAAATCCAACTGATCAGTCGCCTCCACATCGGCATTACCCGCAATACGAGACTCAACCACATGCGCATACGCAAGTCCCAGCTTCGCCATCTGCGTCGCCAGATACTCAAACTGCGGCTTGGGATCCTCCATCCGCATCCCCTGGAATGTACTCCAAGGACTGAATCGAATACCAGTGCGGTCCGCACCAATAGCCTCAATAACAGCGCGCGAAACCTCAATGGCGAACTTCGCCCGTCCCTCTACACTACCTCCCCATGCATCCGTGCGCTTATTGCACGTATCCTGGTTAAACTGATCAATCAGATACCCATTGGCAGCATGGATCTCAACACCATCAAATCCAGCCGCAATGGCATTGCGTGCGGCCTGCGCATAGTCCGCGATCCATTCGTGGATCTCAGTCTCAGACAGTGCACGCGGCGTAGGCGCGTCTGCGCTCGCTGGCGTCGCACTACTCGACACGAGATCGAATCCGCCCTCGGATTTGAGGAGGTCGGGGCTTGCGACTCGGCCTAGCGCCCACAGCTGCACGTAGATGTGGCTGCCCTTCGCGTGCACCGCGTCGGTAACTTCTTTCCATGCGGCGATCTGTGCGTCGTTGTAGATGCCGGGGATATTGGGGTAGCCGCCGGCGCGGGCGGATATGAAGGTTGCTTCGGTTATTAGGAGGGTGCCGGGTACTGAGGCGCGCTGGGCGTAGTAGTCTTTCACGAAGGGGAGGGGGATGTGGTTGTCGTCGGCACGGAAGCGGGTCATGGGGGCCATGGCGATGCGGTTGGAGAGCTCGACGCGACCGACGCGGAGCGGGGTGAAGAGTTTGGTCATTTTGATTTTATATATATATTTTTGAATTGGTGGTTTAAGTGACAGGGGTGAATAACTATGGCTTTATATCTATTCGAACGCATCCATTTGTTTCGTAGAACTTCCCGAGGTCTCGACATGGATTAACAAGCAATGTGGAGCCAAGGCAGTTTATAATCACCTAACTCTTTGGAACGTCAGATCTTTCAAGTTTTAGTCTCCAAGAGGAGCAAGGGGCTATTCTGATTTGCTGTTGTGTTCCACTCCGGTGCTGGAACTCGGGATCGGGGGGATTGATTAATAATACATAAAAGATCCCGAGGTACCCGTATCTAAAATCATGGCCCACTGTTGGCCAGGGAAGCATTGCTTATGTGTATAATGTAGAATAGCAGTTAGATTCGTTGGAGATTCTTTGACATTCAATGGTAGCTGAAAGCAACATATAGAAGCTACCTATGTACTCGAGTACGGGACTTGTACAGGTGCAACTATCGCCAAACGCCATCCTCTGGCCCAGCCATGGACTATAATCATTGCACAAACACTGGTTCCTGGTATCATAACGGACTGTAAAAAAAATGCTGCAGAAAAAAAAAAGAAAATAGACATCATCGCTCCAGGCGATCAATAGTAGCCTCGAGCTGTGCGTTGAACGCCCGGATTTGGTTCAAGAGACCGCCTTGTGCTCCAGGGGCTCGGGAACTCACGTCGGCAACGGTGCGAAGCATGTATTCAAGATCCGTAGAAGAGTCCGCAGCAGAAGCAGGACGTTGCTTGTTACGGTCGAGGGCCAATTCAAGACTGTGGAGGGAATTGCTAATCGTGGATCGTGACTGGGGACTATTGTTAGTAATGTATTCGCCAGGGTTGTTATAAAAAGGTCTCACCGATTTGACTTTCTCCTCTTCGATGTGTCTGCTGCGCACTGCATCCATCTGCAAAGCTATGTTCTCACGTTCTCGGCGGACCCGGTATAGATGGTTCCGTAGATCCATCATCTCCCGCTTAGTCTTCTTCAATTGCACGCCAAGGACAAAATTGCTATCGAGTATCCCGCTTAGGTCCATGAGGCGGCTGTCAAGCTCCGAGCTAAATATCTCGACGGCTTTTCTCTTGCGAGACCACTCTGCACGTCGGGTAGCGTTCGCCTCGTTGGCAATTCCATCTTTGAGTGTATTGAGTGTCTTCTCCAGAGTCTCGCGGCAGATCTGGCTCAATACATCAGCCGGGTTGACACCGCCGCGGTTGGGTATCTTGGCCTTCTGGTGCGTGGTGAGTTCATCGGCGGATTCTTCGTCTCCAGATCCCTCGGCCGTGGATGCTGTGCCACCTAGAGAATTGACATTGGCGAGACGGTAAACAGTGACCGGGACTGTTTCTCCACGAGGCTCTCGAGTCTTACGACGAGACTGTTCTTGTATAGGCTCAGCCTCGGGTTGGGGTTCTGTCTCGGGTTCAGGCTCGGGCTCCACTGCGCGCTTAGCCTTCTTCCCAGGTCTGCCGCGCTGTGACTTGGGCGCTGCAGATTCCGCTTCGGGTTCCGGCTGGTCTTCTGTAACAGGCTCGGGCTCGGGCTCTGGTTCCACCGCCCGACTTGCCTTTCCGGGCCTACCACGTTGATTCTTGGGCACTGCAGGTTCGGCTTCAGGCTCCAGCTGGTCTTGTGTGGCAGGCCCCGGTTCCGGCTCCATTGCGCGATTGGCCTTTTTTCCAGGCCTACCACGTTGGGGCTTGGATACTGCGGTTTCTACTTCGGGTTCTGGTTGAACTTCTGTCTCAGGTTCGGGCTCAGTTTCGGCTGCATGTTTGGTCTTTTTCCCGGGTCTGCCACGAGACTTAGGTACCGCAGGTTCTGGTTCTGGCCCGTCTGCTGTCGCAGGTTCCGGCTCGGGTTCGGGGTCAGTTTCTGCTGCGCGTTTGGCTTTCTTCCCAGGTCTGCCACGTTGTGGCTTGGGAACAGCAGGTTCCATCTCTGGTTCTGCTTGGTCTGCTGTCGCAGGCTCAGCCTCGGGTTCAGGCTCTACTGCGTGGTTTGCTTTCTTCGCAGGCCTACCGCGTTGTGGCTTGGGCACAGCAGATTCCACCACAGTTTCAGGCTGATCGCCCTTTTGTGACGTTGGCTTGCGACCACGGCGTGGCCCCAAAGATGACTCTGCAACATCTGGAATAGGCCCATGTGAAATCTTCTCAATCTCGATAGCTTCAATGGTCTTCTTGTTAAGCGAGGGTCTCCCACGAGGCCGTTTGGTCTTTGGGACTCCCTCAGTTTGCGCCGCCTGGGGGTTATCTTGCGCCTCGGTTGTAGGTTCTTGGATAGCCTCTTCTACCTGCAGTTCAGGAGTGTTCTCCGCGGTGGATTGATGCCGTGGGCGACCCCGGGCCTTTTTCGTCTTTGTAGAAGGCCCTTGGGATGTTTGGTTATCTTGGGATGGTGGAACATCCTCAGTCATCTCGACATGATCGTCAGTAGTCGGCATATGGCTAGCTTTAACAGCCTCGGCAGAGCTACCACGTGGTGATAAGGATTTTGTGGCCGATTTCTCTATCTGAACAACCGAAGAAGCGGTTTCCGAGGTAGCCCGTTTGTTTTCCTTGTTTATTTGGATGTGCTCCTCAGGCCGTGGTGGTGACCGAGTGTTACGTCGTTTGTCGTGTAGTTGCTCTGTGTTTTCAGGATGTTCGACCCCGGCCTGAGCTTCAGGCGATGAAATCGGCGCTTGTGGTTCTTCAGCTACCTCAGGTACCGTAGAATTAGACACTGGAGATATGCCTTCGGCTAATTGCTCTTCGGCAGGTGATGTTGATTCCGCGCCATTGGTCCCCTCTTCTATCGGACGCTGAGCTTTGACTGAGGTCTCCCCAATGAGTGAGATGTGAGGCTGCGGAGATTGGTTGTTCGTTGTTTCTGACGGAGGAGGTGCATCTGTATTGGGAGGTTCCTGGGCATGGCTTGTTTGAGACTCTGTGCTACCTGCACTGCTATCAACAGGGTGTGCATCGCCATTCTTAGTTCGCCCACCATTCCGACGAGAAGGAGTATCTTCTGTTCCATTAGTAGGACCTGGAGAATTAGCACACATTTCTAGAGTAGCACACCAGCCTGGTCCATAACATACTGATCTTTCTCCTCTTGTTACTTCGTGTTTGTTCAGATCTATCATCGGAGGAGGGTATCTCATATGTCGAGGGCCTTTCTGGGAGCTTGTTGCGCGCACTTCCCGGTGTGCGCTCAATCCCCCGGGCTTGCGATCCCGGTTGCGATAGCTTTAACGGTCGTGGTGTTGTGTTCGGCGCGGTCTGTGTTCGCGGTGGACTCTGAGCTTCAGGGACAGTCGCAGTGGGTGCGGGCGCTGGTAAACCAAGCCCTGGGCTACCAAATGAGAACCCAAAATTAACTTCTCTTGCTTTGCGCGTCCTATACCAGCAAGTTAGTCTATATGTTATGATTTCGCGGGGTATAGGTAAGGCGCGTACGCAGCTCCACGCTGCCGCATTTGCTGCCGCTCCTCTCGCGCTGCCAATTGTTAGCAATTCCACACATAAATAGACACAGCACCATGACACATACAAGCATCCATTTTGGAGGAACGGCGTCAAAAAAAGACGCGTCGTGTTGATGGTTGAGGAGTAAAGACGAGCGGTCGGAGCCAAGGTGATCGGAGCCGATCCATTTTTGTGCCGATTTCTCCGCGCTCTTCAACCTTCAACAATCCAGCTGTTGCACATTCTTGGTTATCCTTTACTATTATTTCCAAATGGGTTGGTTCTGGGGTGACAAAAATGATACTGTCCAAAAGCTTGATCCGGGGCTTCGTGACTATCTCGAACAGGAGAAGCCCGACAAATATGTGCCTGGTCCCAATGTGAAGCCGACCCCGACGCCTGCGCAATCGCCCGAACCATCTGATCCCTCGAAACCGAAAGTTCCTGCAGCATCACTCTACCAAGATGGACGTTACGCTCATTTATGGAAAACCTACAAGCCGCCGATGGAGTTTGAAGAGCAATCCGGAGAGCGCGGAGCGTCACGAGTGATTGAAAAGTACAAGGAGCGCGGCGACACGGTGCAGCGAGCAGCAATGGAGAACTGTGCCTTGGAGCATGAAGCCTTGACGCACTGTTTCAAGACCGGCAATTGGCGCAAGCAAATTGAAGCCCGGCTGACCATGTGCTCAGCGGAGAATGGCACCTTTTCACGATGCTTTACGACTCAGACTGTAAGTGCCAGCTTATAGCTTCTCGATCATGCCGATTTTAATATGTTTTTGTTGAACAGAAATTCCTCCAAGCTCTCGGCTACGCATCTGGCTTCGAATATGACCCCGAAAAAGAGGAGCGCATTCAGATGCATGCCGACAAACTCTATCACCAGATGTTGAACTACGAAAAGCGAGTTGAGGAGGCAAAGGCTGCTGGAATCGAACCACCACCTATCACGTCACTTTTCAACCCAGAGAAGCCATCGCAAGCCCCGGAGGTTGGCCTTGAGATTCCTGGAGGGGAGGCAATCCCGGAAGAACTCAGACCGTCGAAGCCCTTACAGAAGCTCACGCCACATGAGCGAGAGTTGGAGATTCGGGCACACAATGCGCAACGCGAACAGCACAAGATGTATGCGCAGGAGGCTGCGCCTTTCATGAAGACTCAAGATGATGCTCGGCAGAAGCGACAGGAGAAAGCTGTAAGCTGGTTCGGAGAAACTCTCGGCAAGTGGATGTCGTAGAGAAATCTAGATTCTTGTATTTACTATTTTGCTTTGAAAAATGGCGATTGGAGAGGCGTTGGGGTTTGAAGTTCAATTGTTACATATAGCTCTTTTCCCATACTATGTAGAGAGTAATAGTTACACTTAAGTGTACTCTTTGGAGTCTTTAGGCTTACTTTTATCTGCCTCTCTGTCTTTTCTTCTTTTTTGAACTCTGCTTCTCTAGTGCTTACTCTAGGGCTGGATATGTAGGTAACGGGTAGTATCCGAGGTTACCAACTAGCGAATGGATTTCATAACATAAACATTTCTAGTTATAAGCAAGCCGGTAATATGTAATAGAGATATATAATGTTAATATATGAAACATATAACATATAATAAAGGAGAATGTCACGGCCAATCTAATCGCCGGTCGCGTTCTCCCGCGCAAACAACTCGAAGCATCATCGTAGAATCACGACTCTCTTCCCTAAACTCTCACCTTACTCCTTGTCGCATCCTTTTATCCTCCATTCCATATTGAATCACACTTACTCTCCGTGTTCTTAGTTGACCAGAATATCTGAATCCTCTCCAATTCAATAGAAACCACCGATATCATCTGCCAAAAAGATACCCGGTTGATCATTGGACTCGGAAATTCTCTCTTCTTTCTTCAGGCCATATTTCTCTACTCGCAACCGGTGGTGCTCAACAAGCTGAGCTGCGGCGCTCGCCATGAAGGCTACTCCGTTGCTCATCTCATGGCATAATGACAATGCCCCTATCTACTCGGTGCATTTTGATCCCAATGGCAAGGGTCGGCTAGCTACTGCTGGAAAGTAGGTTCTATCTGTCCTCTCAGATCGTTGAAACCATTTTACTGACTGCTTTCTTTTTAGTGACAACAACGTCCGAGTATGAACCCGCCCTCCGTTGCCCCTCGCACACCTTGATCTGACATGTTCTACAGCTCTGGAAAGTCGAGTCTATCGGGGAGGAAAGAAGAGTCTCTTATCTGAGCACCCTGATCAAGCATACACAGGCCGTCAATGTGGTTCGCTTTAGCCCCAAAGGTATGTTACTCGGCGAGATAGCATATGCCTATAAGTCTGACGGATGCAGGTGAGATGCTGGCATCTGCCGGAGATGATGGAAATGTCCTACTCTGGGTACCGTCGGAGCTCCAAACACAAGCTGGGCTGGGTGAAGATCGTTCGGATGATAAAGAGACCTGGAGAGTGAAGCACATGTGCCGCTCGTCCGGCGCTGAGATCTACGACCTGGCCTGGTCCCCCGATGGTGTTTTTATCATTACAGGCAGCATGGACAACATCGCACGGATTTACAATGCCCAAACTGGTTAGCTACCCTCGAGCAATCCTCAAACAGCTCGATAGGCTAATCGAATTCTACAGGACAAATGGTACGACAGATTGCCGAGCATTCTCACTATGTTCAAGGTGTAGCATGGGATCCGCTTAACGAATTTGTCGCGACTCAATCGTCCGACCGATCCGTTCATATCTATACATTGAAGACCAAGGATGGACAATTCACATTGACACCACACGGGAAGGTTCTCAAGATGGATCTCCCTGCCAAGCGTATCGCATCCAGCAGTCCTGCGCCTCCAGATGCGCCTAGCCGGTCTCAACAAAGCACTGGAAATTCTATTGCTATTGCCTCGCCTGTTCCCTCGACCCCGGGGACCCCGATGGCTTCTAACCTACCCATGGATCCTCCCCCAGTCTCACACAGTCGGCGTTCTTCGTTCGGCTCGTCTCCTTCCATCCGGCGATCTGCGTCTCCTGCTCCTTCTCTCCCGTTGCCCGCCGTTAAACCATTAGAGGTCTCCTCCCCGAGTTTTGGTGGCTTAGGGGTCAAGAACGCCAGCATTTATGCCAACGAGACGTTTACTTCTTTCTTCAGGCGACTGACATTTGCTCCTGACGGAAGTCTACTGTTCACACCAGCTGGTCAATTCAAAACCAGTCACGTATCAGCCACGGATTCTACAAAGACGACAGACGAGGTCATTAACACAGTCTACGTCTACACGCGGGCTGGTTTCAACAAGCCCCCGATCTCTCATCTTCCAGGGCACAAGAAGCCATCTGTCGCCGTCAAATGCTCCCCCGTCTTTTATACGCTGAAGCAGGGCATCCAGCCTGCGAAAAACATTACCCTAGATACGTCTTCGGGCGAAGAGATGTTCCCATCCCTTCCAGACCCCGTGGTATCGGGAAATTCATCTTTCACCGGCCAAGCCCACAAGGTCCCTCCATCCTCAACCACGGCGGAGCCATCGAAGCTTCAACCATCGCCGAAGGCTGCTGAGGACAGCAGCAATGAAGCAAGCCAGAGCTCGGCGCCTGTCTTTGCACTTCCTTATCGCATTGTATATGCCGTTGCCACTCAAGATGCTGTTTTAGTATATGATACGCAACAACAAACCCCGCTATGCATTGTGAGCAATTTGCATTTTGCTACTTTTACGGACTTGACTTGGTAAGTACTGTTTCTATTCTTGATACCCACATATTGCTTTCTAACACACAATAGGTCCGCCGATGGGTTAACATTGATTATGAGTTCCTCTGATGGCTTCTGCTCTACACTCTCGTTCGCACCTGGAGAGTTGGGCCAAACATACACAGGACCAACCTCTGTGACTCACAACACTGCAACCCCAACCACCCCTGCGACGAATTCCACACCTCTGCTGACCCCAACGCATGCGGTGTCTCCACATGTGCCATCTCCAATCAAGACAAACCATGCGTCCTCAAATGGCACAGGCCCCGCACCACCAGCTAGCCCTGCACGATCCAACTCCGCCTGCTCAGTTACGACACAGTCTTCCTCACAGCCAACCCCTGCGGGAGTCGTGAATAATCCTACTCCCACACTCGGGACTGTCCCGTCGGTGACGGCAACGCACTCTGCGCAGCCACCGACACTTCCACTGACAACACCGCCACAAACGCCTGTCTCAGGCGCTCCACAAAATGGACATATTACGACCGGTAATAGCGTTCTGGGCAAGCGTGACACAAGACCTACAAGCGAGTCTGAAAAAAAAGAGGGCAAGGGGGACCCAAATAATGCATCGCAACAGCCGCCGAAGAGACGTCGTGTGGCCCCCACCCTTATCTCGGCAGGTACTGACGGGGCCTCATCTTCGAAGGACAACAAACCCTAAGTTGAGATTATGCGGAGTATTGAGCCTCTTGATCGCTTTCTCAGCCTCGGCATGCAAGGCATGACATGACCAATTTGCTTTGCTAGCTGCCGCTTCTTATGATTCATGTTTTTTTTTTTTTTTTTGCTCAAATCTTTGCTCATGCTATATCCTCCTCGTATTCTATGTTATGTACTTGAAATATCTTTGTTTCTGATTTTTTTTTTAACAATCAGGTCTATGGTGGGTGGAGTTGTGAGAGCCATCTACTTCTCGCTCATGTTTACTTATCCCCTCGATCTATGCATGAATTGTGGGATGGGAATAAAGAATGAAAATGTATGATCTCGATTTCCTAAGTAGACTATCAGGGAGTTCCTTAAAAACAACGCCATCAGAATACAATAGCCATTTAAAGAAGGGCAATACCAAAGATATAATGTATCAGTCATCTCGCCATTGAACCTTGGAAAGCTATACTGTACATCTGTGTCCCTCACTCCCTTGAACAAACAAAACTATGCCGTAGGTCATATCCCTTCGTGATCCATCTTCCATCATACATGAGCGACAACAGTCCGCATGAATAACAATATTGATAGCCAATCGCAACAAACCCTGGGTGAGAGTAAGTCATTTAGTCTCCTCCCCATTGGACATGAAACTCGCCAGTTCATCCAGAACGTCCAAAAGCGAGCAACCAGGCG